CATCAATGGGTGGTGAGACGCACTGTTTACCTACCTCGTGACCTAACTAATGCCAAAAATTGTACTGCTGTTGCCGGGGAAGTGTCATATTAGGGCAGCAACCGCAAATGCCAAGTCCCCAGGTAGCTTTTCTCTCACAAACCTGTAGACCAAGTCAAGCTTGTCACACTCCAAAGGCACAGCACAAAGGATGCTTTAATTTCACGAGGTGACAGCTTCCTAAGTGGCGGTTCCTCACTAATGAATGTATTTACCCTCACTGAAACGCACTTCTGTACTTCACAAGCTGTGAAAGGATCTGGGCAAACACATTACTCTGGAAACAGCAACTACAGAAAAAAAAAGAAACCCAAAACAACGTGGTTGAAACTCATTAACTTGTTCGTTAAAGAGTGGAGGCGTTATCTCCTGCTGGCTGTGCTCCCTGCCCCTATTGGCGATGCTGGAAGGGACATCGGAGCTGCGGTGCTGCCACCAACCTTTGCTTTCCACACAGTAATTCCCTGGCAGCTACAGCAGAGCCAGGGTGCTCAGAGCTCCATGGTTTTCTTTTTTTTTTTTTTTGCCAGCAAATATTAAACGCAGCTTGCAACGGGAGGGAGAAAACTCAACACCCCCGTCGCTTTGGGACACTCTTTTCCCCAGCTCTCGGGGGAAAACTCCAGCCATCACAGGGCCTGTCACAAACTATTCCTCATGTTTCTGAGGCAAGAAGTGAGTATGACAACAATGTTTATTTAAAGATAATACATTCAAGAGCTTATAGAGAAATATTTTTATAGAGAGAAAATATTTTTAAAAGCAAACAGCTCCATACAACCCTCTGTAAATGACTGGTAGGGGCAGAGAGGCATGGGGAACTTTTCTGAGTCCTTCAGAGAGCAGAGAGCTTGCACTTAAAGCAGCAAGTCATTTAGCACCTATTTCCTTATTCTGACCCTGTTTTCCAAGTTATCACGTTATCCATAGGACACTCACTTCTTCTTGGACACTGTGCTGCTCTGGGATTGTCAGGCCACAGGCCTGGGGATTTTTCTTCCTATTTTAAAATGCATACCCTTCGATTTCATTTCCAAACTCTGAATGAAATTGAAATTTTCCATTCTCATTTCAATTTCAAAAGTTTCCCTTTTCCTTCAACTGTGATGAAAAAGTAAGAAGTGCAAACACTTCCTAGCCCTTTCTGTGCTTTGTTCAGTATTTTACATAAATGTATCACATTCTCAGCTGTGTTTTCCTTCTCCCTCCTGAACTCTCCAGACAATATTGGTCTTTTTAACCAAACTATTTCTCGTAGCTATCATTATTTTCATTACCTAAAATAACAATACTTTTGTACCCGTAGAAAGGGTAGAAAAAATGGGAGAGATCAAATTTCCCTTTAAAATACAAAAGTCACCTTTCAGCCTTGCTAAAAATTTTACTGAGATAAGTACAATAGAGGAGTAACATGAATCATTGCTGCTATTTTGCTAAGAAAATTTGAATAAGTGTCTTGAAACTGTTTTATGTAAGCTCTTTGAAAGAAGTTCATTGCACTTACTATAAAATAGGGACTATTTGACTATTGTTGAATAGATTTGGTTATGTGGGTTTCAGAAACCAGAGCAATTTCAAAGAAGAGAGGCTGCTTTAGTTTTATAAATTTAAGGACGCCCAAGTATTATGTGTAGGTACACCAGCCTATCTGAGAAATTGAAATTTTTATGAACCTGTAGGAATAAAAGAGATCATTGCATTTATTCTCTGAGTTTAACAGTGGCTTTGTTTTGGATGAAATAAGAAAATACTTTTCCACTTACTAGTTAATTTAAATCATGCGTAGCACTTCCAGGCTCTCTTCTCATGTGATAGCCTCATGCCACATGTTACCTGAGCTGTAACCAAAAGAGAAGGATCTAATGAGCTGAGGTCTTGTTTTGTAACTCCCACCTCCCCCAAACCTTCTCCATGCCCATGTGTGATACTCAGTTATGGGACAAGTCCTTTAAGACCCTGTATCTTCCCCTCCTCAAAGGCACCACAGTGTTTGCTGATGTCCTCCCTGTCCGGCAGGGACTGCATGAGAAACGTTTCTTCAGCTTCATGAGAAGTGCATGAGAAAGGCAATAGGAGTTTAGAGATGGGCAGGGAGTACTGAATAAACAAGTGTAAGTCCTATTTGCCCCTGCACTCAAGACGGTCTCCTCTTAAGCCCTGCTTTGATAGGAGGATAACTTTGTGCTTGGAATAACTGGTCTGCATGGAGCATGGGGGAACGCAGTGCTTCTCTGAAGTTGAAATAAGGCCTGGAAAACAAAAAGTCTGTTGTATACATAAAGTATAATGATAAAAAAGTAAAACGAAAGCAGCAGCTCTAGCTGAGAGGTAATGGAAATGACTGGCACTCTCACCCCTTCTTCCCTATTTTAAGATGTGTATATAATTAAGAACATTGAAAAATATGTTTCTGACATCCCCAGTGTTTGTTCTTACGAACAATTCTCAGACATACCAGAATGCAACAGAAATAAAACAACCCGATTTGCTTTTTCACTGGTGCCATTTTAAAAATAGTAACATCTTTATAACAGCATCTCTGGGTGCAGGAAAGAGCTCATTTACCCTTCTGCACTGAGGCCCATGTATCTCTCTCTGCCTGTGGCATTTCCATCCGCCTCTGCTGCTCTATCACGCTGTTGCAGTTACTACCAGGACGAAGTACATGAATGGTGTGATGAAATGGGAGCTCTGGTAGATGTGTAAGGAGATGCAGTGAAAATAAAGCATCTGTTTACTCTCAAACCACACTTCAATTACTCACACATCTCCCTTGACGTCAACAGGGCTCTAAGCAGGTTCCCCCAGGTTTTTAAGCCCTCGGGTCCCCTGTGAAAACAACCCTGCAGTTCCCTGTAGCGTTTGCTGCTTTGTCGCAGCAGTCTTGCACAGCACCAGTCCCAGGGGGCAGATTCATGAAAGCCCCATGGAAACTCGTGCTGGCTGTGAGCTCACACAGAGATTATATCAAATTACACGTCATCCCCTTCGGAAAAGAGGCCTCGGCCCAACACCACTTGCGTGACAGAGTTATGTTCATCGAATGGAAAGAGGCACCGAGCCCTGGAAGGCTCTGCAAGTGCGAGAGCCAGGGCTGGATCGAACCACTAATCATCTGCTGCCATGTCTCATTTGCTTAAAACAGACCGTGAAGTCAATCCTTTGAAAATAAGCACTGTCACCTGTAGCTCACTGTGCGTGGTTGTCTTTTGGACTCTTTCTGTGTACCCCTTGTAATTTATCAGTGAAATGAAGAGGAAAGTCCTTGTTTCATCTCCAGTCTCTCTGTTCTTGGGGTACATAAAGTGGTATGGGGAGAGGAGAGCAGCTACCCATTTGTAACTCGCTTCAGGCTTTTCATAGGTATTGCTGCATAGCAGTCCTCCCTATTCCTTAAAATACTATTACAGCGTAGTTAAAATAATTTACATGCTGTTAACATCACTTTTCCAAGATAAAGCCCATGTCTGTGGCAAACCCAAATGCCCAATTTAGGAAAAACTTGGAGTTTCTAAAGCCGTTGACAACATACATGCAGCGAGGAATTCCTCCAAGAACAATGAGGGAAACACGGCTGCTTTCCTTCAAGAGAGCTGGTTTTTGCTCTTACATTTCAGAAATTTTATATTTTTAGTGGCACATTAGCCCTGCGAGGCCACTCAACCTTTTCTTCCAAAGAAGACCTCACCTCACTGAATTATCACTTCACTGAGGTGATAACACTAACAAAATCGTAACGGTCGTATATTGATCTGGATGAGAATACGGAGCTCTGAAAAAAAAGGACACATTTTGGGTTATATTGCACAGCGCTTGACACAGAACAGACAGCTTGCCACCAATTATTGCACATAAACACTAGCAGCCCGCACAAACAGCTGCAGAACGTCAGCAGGATAAATAACTGCTTGCAGATTTAACGCTGGCCATCATATCATGACTTTGTGGGTTTTTATTAACGACCGAGTAGACAGGAGGAGCCCTCATTCTGCTTCTCTGAGATTTGAAAGGACATAGATGGATGTGGTTTACATTTCTCCAGAGTTAGAGCTGGAACTCATGATGCAAAATACTGAAATAGATATGAATAGGGAAAAAAAAATGTGTAATTTAAAAAACGTGTTAAAGCACTAGCTGCGCGATACTGTGCTTTCCAGAAAGTTCAAAGGGAGGCAGCCAGGGTAGAGGGCCTTAGAAGGCTGCTTGTTCACTGGGGAGCAACATGCCAGCTTGCACTTCTGATGAAAGCTTAAAAAATATCCCCTTTAAGGGTGTGTGTGAGGAAATTTGATTCTTCAGAGCCGACAGAAATGCTGGTTGGTGCCGGGACCCCAAGATCTCATGGATATTTGGGCTCACACACCATGGTTGGCCATGGGGAGACCTCAATATATATTTTTTGTAGAGGAGGTGTCCCAGTGAGCTGAAAACCCACCATCTAGCTGAGCAGCATTGGGCTTTCCTGGTTTTGCACCTGGATCCAAGTTGTGGATCCTGCCGCACGCTTGAAAGGGAGGTGTGTGCCTTGACTTTTGGGGGTGCCTGTGTCGAGACAGCAGCCATGGCGGGGCCAGAGGGGCCTGGGGGTTGTGGTGGAAATGGGATGTGTGTCCCGGGGGACGGAGAGCCCCTCGTCCGTGCCGCTAAGCGCACGCGGGGCCCTTCATGGCGGCGGGCGGCGCCTCCCCCGCCACCGCCCTCAGGAGAGTTGGCGGGAAGCAGCTGCGCGCGCCTCCCCCCTCCCCTCCGCCCCGCCGCGCGGACGCGGGAATCCTGACACCTCCCGGCCACCGTCCTGCGGCTCCCTGACGGCGCCACCCCGCCTCCGCGGCCGCCGGAAGCGGTTGCGGCGAGCGCTTCCGGCGGCGGTTGGTGCCCGGTAGTTGGGCCCGGTCGCGGCCCAACATGTCGGCGCAGCCCCCCCGCTGCCCCCCGCGCGCCCCGCCGTGACGTAACCGCCGTGACGTAACCGCCGTGACGTAACCGCCGTGACGTAACCGCCGTGACGCGAAGCGACCAGTGAGTGCCCGGGGGCGGTGGGTCCGTCCGCCCCGGCCTCGCCCCCGGGGCTCGTTCCCGCCGTGGTGCCCAACGTGCCCGAGCACGGGCGTCGCCTCCCAAACAACCATCAACGCCCAGCAAATAGGTGGATTAATTAACAAAACCCAAGCTGACGTGCGGGTGATACTTTTTGCTTTGCAAAGCTGGAGTCAGCAGCTTCCATCGCCTAAAACGCAGTGTAGCTTGGTGATTATGTAATGTAAAAGGGTTTTTTTTCCCCCTTTTTGTAGCAATGGAGGCTCCGTATGATGGTACTGAAGTAACTGTGGTAATGGAGGAAATAGAGGGCACCTACACTTTCGCGTCTCCGGTGCCGTCTAAGAAGAAAAAGAAATATGGAAGTCCCGAATATCATGGGGGAAGAGCCAAAAAACCTAGGTAAGCTCCCTGTGGCTTCCTTTATTTCCCTTGTAGGATGGGGGAGCACTTTTCATTCTTTCCATTACAAATAAGCTTTGCACTGCACTTGGAAAAGTTTATAGCACAAAATACAGTGTGTAGAAACTTAATTTGACTTTAGGATCATTCTGATGTGCGTGCCTTTATGGAAGCTACTATTTGATCTGAAGTTTGTCTCCTCTGGAATAACTTACATTCTCTTTTGTTGCTGCAGAGTTTCTACTCATAATCTTAGTTTTCATTTGGTTTAGAAAGTGCTTTGTTAAAGAGAGCAGAAGTTAACCTGCTCGTAACTTGACCTTGAGACCAGCATAAAACTTAGGGATTCCTTGTTCCAAAGATGTTCTTATAAAATGCCATTACGACCTGCATCTCTGGTTGCATTTCAGATCCGCTTACCTCCTCTACTACTACGATATCTTCTTGAAAGTGCAGCAGGATTTTCCTCACCTCCCTCCGTCTGAGATTAACAAAAAGATCAGCGAGAGATGGAGGTTGCTCAGCGTGGCTGAGAAAAGCTATTACTTGGAGAGGGCCAAACTAGAGAAGGAAGGATTGGACCCGGTAAGTTGCCTTTCCTGCCCGCCTTGGTTTGTGAAAAAGAAGCCAGTGGCTGTAACTGCTTTGGCACTTACCTGCTCACATAGCGCTGTGTGGAGAGATCGTTTAGGTGCAGATTCCAGTTCGTAAGTCTGCTTAGGATAGTCCATCTACAAGCAGTGAGCAGAGCAGGGAATTTCTTCTGCTTTTGCTTTCTGTTCAGTCAAAGAGTAGTATTTTGAAAGTCAGACAGATCTGTCTTGGACCTGCTGATGAGAATTGCACTGATTTTGTGTCTTGTCGTCAAATAGATTGATGGTAAAGTGGATGAAAAAGTGAGACCTGAGAGGGATTCTGCAGGCTCTGTTGCATGGAGAGCTTCCTGGCTCTCCATGAACAAGAACAGGATTGAGGTGATCCAAGAACAGGATTGAGAACCGAATCTGTACTCCTTTTTACTTATGCTATACTCTGTTTCTGCCAGCAGAACTCCAAGGTGTCCACTCGGACTGCAGTAGTTCCAGACATTCCAGGTTTCCGTAAAATTCTTCCCCGCTCCGATTATATTATTATACCCAAAACCACTCTTCAGGAGGACAGGAGCAGGCAGTCACTGGAACTTTGTGTGGCGCAGGGCCAGGCAGCGGCTGAGGGGTTGGCTGCTCCCAACAGCCTCACAAATATGTCTCACGAGGCCGTGCAGAACGTCCTGTCCGTGGACTCCAGCCACGTTGGCGTCTCCGAGCAGTGCGTTGCCATAGAAGGCATAGCAGAAGAGACGTCTTCGTTTGCTCCGTCGGATGCTGTGGAAGAAGTGGTTGCGTCCGAGGTCCTCTCCCAGTATGTGGGACCTGCGACAGATAAAGTGGCGGGGGATGTCCTCTTGGACGAGGCTTCTTTGGAAATAGAAGGGCAACCGTATCAAACAACTCGGGTAGTTATTGAAGAGACCCTAGTGAGCAACTCTGGAGATGTCTCCAATGGGAGCAGCACCGTGGCCCGCCCTCAGGTTTCAGATGGCCTCTCTGTGGTGACCGTGGTGACTGGGAGGGTAAGCGCCTTCTGACCTGAAATCTTCTTCTCACCTGAAATCTTAGTGCTCCTCAACACATTTGATTCTTGGTGTCCAGGGGAGGCTCCATATTGCACAGGAAGTCAGGACTCAGCAGTCGGAGGAACAGCAGCTTTTCCAATGCAACAGTCACACTTGCTCTCCCTCCTGGTGGTGATTCTGGCGTAGGCTGTTATCAGTGTCTTACAGTGTCTGCTTGATTTCCCACCAATATTTGGGGTGGATTACACAGTTGCACTGCAAGGTTTTTCAGAGTCTAAATATTTTATCTCTGTTCCTGATAGCTATTTGCTTGGTTGCAGAGGACTGGGTGAAAGGAGTCCTTTAAAATTGTAGTGTTAGAAGTCAGTTGTAGAAAACATTAAATAATCAAGCCTGTTCTCCCTCTCTTGTGAGATGGAAAATCTGTGTAGAGTTTGATAATTTGCAGTGCAGTCCTTGTAAGGCCATTGCTTTTGGACTGATTATGGTTCTTTGCTGCTTTGTGGTCTTAATCAGTCCTTAAGACCTGTATTCAAGGATAGCACTCATGAAAGGGTGGGACAGAGTTCACCACTGCTCTTGCTCTCAGCAGTTGTTTCTCCCTCTGACTTCTCTTTAGGATACTGAAGAGAACAGCTCCTCCACACCCACTACCCAATTTATTATGTTACCTTTACCAGCTCATTCTGTTGTGGAGAACCCAGCGTCGATTAAACTGGTAAGAAATTCAGAATCTCCTGTGGAATTTAAGATATACAGATGTTATGTAGGCAGCAGGAAGGATAGTGCAATTGTTCTAACATAACCACCTCAATCCGTTTTATTTTTGTAATTCTTGTAAGACTTTGCCATGCAGTCAGCACAGCTGCTCCTAGTGTGCAAGTCGGTATCAAATCCTGTTTTTTCTGTCCTCTGTACACCCAGCTGATAGTACCCTGCAGGTATTTGCAGCGGTGCAAAGTGTGACAATCTTCCAGGTGTCTTATGGAAAATGGAGATAGCCCAGGTTTTTGTTCCTGAGGAGCAGTGCCTTGCTGTCATCACGGAAATGAAACAATTTAAGCTATTACATTTCTAGAAAAACTATTCCTAGTTACCAGCTTGTGGCACAACAGCTCCCTCTGGAGCTTTGAGGACATGTGAATCTTGCGAGCTTTGTCCTGACAGTGGATCAACCTGTATAGTTGTCCTGACTGATATGACAACCCCAGGTTTAGTTGTCTCTAGAAGTAGTGGCTGTTGGGGCTGCTGGCATCACAGCAGTTTATAGCAAGTTACAGTAAAGCAGCAGGGATAACTTCACCATTGAGCACAATGCAAGCAAATTACCTAACTGATATCCTGAGCATTTCTTATCTTCAGTTGTGACCTCATTGATGTGAACTCTCGTGTTGGCTCATTGTGGCCTGCTCTTTGAACAATTTTTATTCTGTATTATTGTGACTTTTTCATAGTCATAAGAGAACTATTACGTAACTGTAGGTGCGAGTTCAGCTCTTCCAGCAGTGTGTGTGCATTCGCCACCTCTGCTCTGCTGTGTGATCCAAATTTTGGTGAAGCAGAAAGCACTAGTGTAGACTGAACACTTAGTAAGTCAGCACTTTAACTGCACTGAACCTCTGTGCAATGACTGATCAGTGAAATGAGTAATAGCAGAAGACTGTGGTGACAGGTAACAGCAGAAGGTTAGTAAAAGGTTACCAGGAAAAAGGGAGTGAGGGAGAACAGCTCTGTGTTTTGCACTTCTTTAGAGAAATTCTTGACAACTAATTCTCATTTCAGACAACAACCTACACTCGCAGGGGACATGGAAATTGCACGAATCCTGGCTGCTCCTTCACTTATGCCACCAGGCATAAGCCACCAAAATGCCCGACATGTGGGAACTTCCTGGGAGGGAAGTGGATCCCAAAGGTACTTTGCTTTTCCTCCTCTTTATTTATTTATTTTAGCTGAAAAGTGGCATTTTCATGAATGTCTGATATGCCTAGACTTGTAGGACTAGCATAGGAGGTTGCATATGACAAAATTGATCCCTGCACTTGTATTCCGGTGCTTATGCTGGAGCAGGTTACCATTGGAGAAGACTTTCAGCCCAGACAAGACAAAACTGAAATTCCCACTCCCTATGTAAAGATGTCACTCGTAATGGCTGGCTTTACTAGCATTTACTCGCTAAGAAAGTATAAATTCTTCTGGCCCTTTGTATTATGGTTTCTGTGACTACAAAGTACTGCCTGTTTTTCCTGCCTCGACCTTAGCTAAGCTCAGGGAGTCAGTTAAACCATTTTTATGGTATATCTTGTAATTTATCCGTCTTTGTAGTTCTTCTATAAATTGAGATCTATGTTAGTTTTCTATGTTTTTTTTTTTTTTTTTTTGACAGAAAGGAAGAACAAACCTGAAATATAGTAGTAGTGCTTGACCATTTGGGAGCCAGCTATTAAGGATCCTGTAGAGGAAGTTTTAATGCTGTTGGATTTTGTTAGTTGTGGACACAGACTTGACTGAATGGAAAAATCTTTCTCTACCTGATACCTACTCGAATTATTGGCTTTGCTATTAGCTGTATGCAAATAACTTGCTGCTTAAATCATGGCAATGAAGACAAGTCAGCTCTGGACAGGGGTGTATTCATTAAATTTGTCTGACACAGACTCCCTCGGGCACAGGTTAAAGGGTGTTCTCAATGTAAAAATTTGCATTGTTCTTCAGTGACTTTAAACAGAATTGTCATGATTCTCTCTCGTTCTGTGCCCGGATTCATTAAGCATTTGGGGACAAGAACTTTGCTAGCTTACAAACTCAGTGGTGTCTGAGCTCATGGCTGGGCCTCCTGTGTGCTAGAATCCAAATAGTGATGACAGCTTATTAGCTTTTGTTCTGTAACCCTGCTGAGACAGATAAATGGCCAACTGCAAAAACGTGGCTCTGAATATGGCAGGCCAGCTCCCATTAAATTAAATCCTACAGTGATTAGAGCTGAAAGGTTGTATAGGGAAGGCTTTGTTTCTCTTTCAGTTTTTTCTTTTGTTTTGGGAACACACTTGCATGAACAGTTCCACTCATTCTCTTTTTTTCATGCCTTGGGAGAAACCTGTACCAGGAGTGTTCCCTTTCCTTAGAAGGAAAAGGGACTAGGTGAGAGAGTGTCTGTTTAAACAAACAGAAAAACACCCTAGAATATCCTTATGAATACCAACTCTATTGAAAAAAATAGTTTGGAAGAACAGACGTCTTCAGAGAGCTGAAACTGTGAAAGGGAGATGTAGGAGACAGATCCTTGTTACAAGAGGTGGTGGATGACTAGAGATTTTGATACTAATGTTGATATTTGAGGGAGTTTAAGTAAGACTTCAAAGTAGTGTTTGAAATAATAGTAAAGAACCAGGAAGCAGGATAAAATGTTACTAGGAACTTGACTGTTGTAGAATGTGGTGTCTTTCTGCTGTCATGTACAGTGCACTGCTTCGACACTTAAGATTTAGGTATTTTGATTTTTTGATCATTTGAATGCTAAATAGTCTGTGTCAAAGCAGGCATATTCTAAGCAAACTTATTTACCTGTGAAAGTCTAAAGCTCTAAAGTGTGGCTGTCTCTCTTTTTTCTAGGAAAAGCAACCAAAAAGTAAATCTGAGCCAAATTCAGGTACCTCTCTTAGGACTCCAGCAGCTAAAAAAGGTCAACAGATGGTTGTCACTGAGCAGGCGACCGTTAGTGAGAGTACTTCCAAATCTGCCTTGGAAAGCTCTGAAGCTGTCAGCCAGCTATTGAACGCGGTGCCTGTTGGAGGGCAAATGCAGGAGACGGAGTGGGAGGAAGTGATCATCTCTGAGGCTCACTTTCTTGCAAACAATGTGCTTGCTGAAGACAGAGGGAGTGTTGTTGGAGTGGTGCTGGGTCAAGAGAGCCAACTGCAAAGAGATGCTTCTTCGGAGCACACAGAAAAGGATTGTGTAGGGCTGGGGCTACCGACACCCTCTGAGGTGCAGATTCCAAATTCCTCTACGAAAAAAGCAATGGGGTGAGTTGGCTTTCCATATGTTAAGAGTGCACTTTATGTCTCTTGGGGGCTGATGGGATTAATCCAAGAAATTGAAGGCTTTTGATAGTGCCTCTTGTAAGACCTGTTTTATATATTGTCTGTTTCTTGCCAGTTTGGAATTGTTCCTAAAAGATTGTTTCATCAGTCAAATCTAATTTTCTTTTAAGTGACAAATTATTAGGGTAATTGCAGGGCAGATCTGATCTCCTCTCTGCCTTAATAACTGTGATCATTACACTATTAAAGTACACCTCAGAAGAAAGAGAAAAGCAGGAAACAGGAGAGATTAAAAAAATATTAAAAAGTGGATATTTTGAGCCAAGTGAAGCTCTTGTTTTCCAGAACTGATGCACCAGCTGCTTCACACAAAGGACAAGAAGTAAAAAGTAAACCGAGACCTAAGCCCTCCTTGCTGGCTGCAGCAAGACCCATGAGAGCAATTCTCCCTGCACCAGCCAGCCTGGGGAGAGAAGCCAGTACTGAGCAGCCTAGCAACAGACAAGCTTTTCCCAGCACAGGTAAGAGCAGTGTTCTCCTGCGGGCCTGGTGATAAAACAACAGCCACTCCCCATAATGAAATGGTTTCTTTCGAAAGATACGATAATGCTGAAGGGAGATAGTGAACTGGCTTAAAGAGCTTAAGGAGCTTGAGTCTAAGCATGTGTGTGGCTGAGTGGTCTGCAATCTGATAGTTTTATTGTACTTTGGAAAACCAGAACCAAAATTTGGGGATGCTTCCCCCCAACTCTCCCACCACTTTATGCCCCCTTAAAAAATCCCCTATTTCTTTCTAACTGAGAGTATAGGCAAACAAAATATGAAAGGACCGTCTAGGTCACTTTGAGTTCAAGCAAAAATCCCACGTGTTGACTTGTGATGGCATTTATCAAAGCTATCAGAATAAAACAGAACCTGTTTTTCTGCATCTAACCTGCTGCATCCCTTCTTGCTTTCAAGACAAGCAATCCCCTGTGAGAACATCAGGCCTGAAGCCCAGTACACTGAAGCAATTGGGTCAGTCGGTTCTGCAGCCGCCGAGTGCTGAGGAACGAAAGGTATTGATGGCTTGTTCTTCAAACATATTTTTTTCCTTTAGATTTTTTTTCCCCAGAGCAGGGTATGACCTGAGTGGTGAGAAATAGAATGAAAACTGTGGCAGCCTTTTGATGAGGAGATCTATGACTGGCGGCTTTTAAATGAGGTGGCTCTGAAAGAGCATGATGATTAGGTGAGCACAGGACCTGACCTGAAAGATGCTGTTGGACACTCCTCCTGTTGGCTGCTTTGAGAAACTACCACTTATTTCCAGGAGAGATTCTGAGGATTTGCTAGTGCTTTGAAAATTTCAGGGAGAGTACTGAGAAAATCCTTTTCACCTGTGAAAGATCATGGAGTGTGAAGCATGGTATGCGAAGATGCTGGAATACTTCTGTTGGAATTATAGTGCCGTAGTACACAAAATAGCATGTTTCAGGCCTCTGCTATGAAACACACACTAACTCAAAATTAAAAAAGTTTATAACTTGCTTACAGAGCATATATATCCAGTAATATGATTTTCTCTTTTTTTCTCCTTTCACTCTGTAGATTAATAGTGCTTTGGCCAACAAGGCATCACAGGTTAAAGTGATTGAGGTCAAACCAAAGCTGTTCCCTTCCTACAAGTACAGCTGCACTGTAACTTTGGTGAGAGTCTTTTCAGAGGTCTGATTTATTTGTGGGGAATGCCATCTCTAGGGTGGAAGTGCTGTGCTTTTTTTTTTTTGTTGTTGTTTGTTTGTTTTACTGACTTGCAGAAATGCATTTAGTGCAAGTTTATTCTTTGTCATCTGTTGACCTAATCTAGGGTGACTGTACTATGTCACAGTCACATTTAGGACTGATTTTTTTTTTGCTTCATGCCCTGGAATAATTCCTGTCAGATTAATGGTGAAGGATCAATGGCTTCTGAATTAATGTGCTAAATGTTTGTGGTCTATAGATTTTGCTCCCAAATGTCAGAGTTCCAGTTCAAATGTTCTGTACAAAGTGAAGGGCCTATCATTTAGCCTTTATACCAGGTGATGTAAATTGCAAAGAAAGAATGTTTTATTTGAGCAGAACTTCAGAGACATCTCCTGGCATCCAAAATTGGGTACAACAAATATTTCTTTTGTATCGTTTCAGGATTTAGGATTGGCAACCTCCCGTGGCAGAGGGAAATGCAGGAACCCCTCTTGCAGTTACGTCTATACAAACAGGCACAAGCCACCAATCTGCCCAAACTGTGGCTGCAATCTTGCCAAAGATAGAACTGAGAAAACAGCAAAATCCCTGGTAAGGTTCCAAAAGTCATCTTTCTTGTTAACGGGATGTAGTGAGGTGGGAGGAGATACTTTAATTTTGCAAATTCCCTTTGAATTTTTGTTCCATTATAATTATAAAGCCTTGCCAAACGGAGAGATGTTCTTTTGAAAATACCAGTGACACTTTTGCTGTCCAAACCCTGGGCACAGCAGGGTTTCTCACTGAGAATGAGAGTGATTTCACTTGTTTCTACCACTGGATGTCTCCATAGCTTAAAATACGTAAAGCTGTAAGTAAATATGCACTGGGGAAATTGTCTCTAGGAGTCGCATCTGTTGCATCAACTTTGCTGAACTTCAGTCTTTATCAGTAAATTCCCATGTAAGCTCTATTTTATTTTTTTTCCTACCAGCTTGTGACAGCAGTTAATTGAGCTAGTATACTTTTTATGACAGCTTTCTGTTTTCTGGAATTTGTAGTGCAAATTTACTTTTTTTATGTTAGCCTGAATTTATTAATTTATTTCTGGAGATGTATGTATATATATTTCTTTTCTGTTTTAGAAGAACATTATTCAGGTTATCTTTTTTTTTTTTTTTTGTATGTGGATGTAAATAATAAAATTGGTTTTGCTTGTGAGAGTTTGGGGTTTTTTTGCATCTGAAGTTTCAACTTCAGCTTTTGTCATACAGAAGGATTTTGCTTATGACAAGAAAAAAAAGAATGTCTGTGCTGTTCTCTGCTGAAATGCCCAGTCAGCATACAGGCAGTGTTTCACACTGTGTGGTAATTTGACTCTTCCACCTGCTTTTTATTTATTTATTTATTTATTTGAAGAACATAACTTTGTGTCATGTTTACTTAGAGGCCAAAAAAAAAAAAAATAGGGCAAACTCAAATAGCATGTGTGAGAAGCACACACAAGCAGATGTGTAAGGAACAGTAGTATGCTTAGCTCAGCTTGCATTTTGGGAGATATGTGGCTTCGCTCTTCCTCCTTGGGTTTTTATTTTTATTTTCTGGTTCTAGTTGTGTATAACATTCCTGTTACCCAGTTGGTTGTTGTCTTTGCTGGGTGAACTGACCATTTATCGCATTGTTAGACTAGACAGAAAACCAAATGTTGGCAGAAGGGTTTAAGTGAGTAAACAGATTAGGCTGTTGACTTCTCTGTGATCTTCTAAGCCACCTAGAATTTGATTCTCTTGTTCTTGTGTATTTTGATTTGATAGCACGTGTGTGTCTAAGGATGGTATGTTGTCAGCCACGTTTTTAGAGGATTCCATACATTGCATCCACAAGTTCTTGTTTAACGGTTACCTCCTGGCTTCTGGAGAGGGACTGCACTGGCTATCTGCACATGCTGTAGAGGGGAATGTGCCTGATAACTGGCAGAGCAAGGCAGGGGCAGAATTGCCAGGAGCATTGAAGTGTTTATGTACCTCTTGATGGCTGTCTGCACCTTCTTGATCCTCAGTCCAGTTTGGTGATAAAGTTGGGGTGGTCTCTGAGCAGTATTATGGAAGTTCCTGAGGGGTTGGGCTTTCTGTAATTTTATGTATACACACATTATATGCATTTTACATGGGTATGGAAGAAATATTTTTGGTGAAATAACCTAATCTTAAAGCTACTAGTCTCTCTGGCCACTTGGTGAGTGGCAGAATGAAAGTCAAGTCAGTGGGTAGAAAGTTTACTGGCTTTGTTACCTTTTATGACCTCTAGATTTCTTAATATTTCAGTCCCATACTTGCCTGGTAGAAAATGAGGGTTTCATTTGCTTTCCTAGGAGGCCAGCCCGGGTCAGTCTGATGTGCTGAACACCAGCGAGCCCCTAACCCCATCCCAGAAAGAGATCCAGCGTCAATCCACTCTGCAGTTGCTGCGCAAGGTAATGCAGATCCCGGAGAATGAATCGGAACTGGCTGAGGTCTTCACGCTCATCCACGAACTCAACAGCTCGCGACTCATCCTGTCCAACGTGAGTGAGGAGACAGTCACCATAGAGCAGACCTCCTGGTCAAACTACTATGAGTCTCCATCTACGCAGTGCCTCCTCTGTAACAGCCCATTGTTCAAAGGGGGACAGAAGTAAGATTCTGTTTTAGACTTGTGACTCTTTCAACCTCGTGCTGATATTCTGTGTTACAAATATGCCTGGAGTAGTATTGTTTTAGCCCTGGGGCTGAAGCTGATATAAGTGACACTGAGTAAGCTACATTTCTGCGGAAAGGGCTTAGCTGGTTAGTTATGAGTTGTTTCTGTTTCTCCTGCACAGTTTAGTTTGTTATAGTCACCATTCCTGTATGGCAGGAGACCTTGATCAAGAGTCACTCATATGTCTAGATGTTGCTGACTTCTTTTTTTAAATGGATTCTCCTCATTACTCATTTCTTCTGATTTCCATTCTGTTGTTTTCTGTTTGCCTCTGTTAGAGGCAAAAGTGGGACTATAGATTTGTGTTGTATGAGTTCCTGTTCTCTCTCATCCTGATACGATTGTTTGTGTATGTTTGTCTATGCTGTGTAGATGCTTTTGCTTACAATCCTTTCAGTATTTTCATGTCTTACTATGGGCTTGAGTGAATCCTCTTCTGAAAAGACTGAGAAAGCACCAATGTATAGTCTGGGTTGCCTTAGCTAGATAATATAAAAGCACATAGGGTATCTTGTCACTGAGCCTGCCAAACATCTTCCTGTTGTCTAAAGCCTGTGAGCAGAACCATATGCAAAGCAAGATGTGGTTCATTTTACTGTTGTATTTCTTTATTGAACCAAGACCATTTTCTTGATGACAGTTAAGGATGTTGACTGCTCAGACTAGTACTAATTGATATTTTTTTCCAGCAGAGATGCTTTCTGTATTCAATAAAATCTTCAGATAAGTCCTCTGTTGGGCTCCGTCCCTCATCCCATAACTTACCCTGCAGTAACCTGTGCGTTCCATATCCTTGGGTTTCCACTGGGCTACTTTGCAGTGCTCTGAAAACGTATTTGGGATTCTCATGTGTGCCTGCAAATTAAATTGCTTTCTATGAGAGGGAGCTAGCTTTGAGTTTGACTGTGTTTTCTTAGGTGGACAGTGTAATTCTGCCGTTAGGTGCAGCTGACATTTTCCTCCGTTTCCCCTCAACAGCCTTGCTGTAGAGGGGTGGATGTTGCAACATTTCAGGGTGTGCAGGGATAGACTCTGGGGTAGACAGTGTTACAAGGCTCTAATTGCCATTTGTTACTGCGAGCCATAGGGCTGGCACTTCTGCCGGGGAAGCTGAGGCTAAAGGTTTTTCCTGCTCTCAAATGTTATGTACTGGGCGTAGGGAGATGGAGAGTTGCTGTAGTGCTGTTACAAGAATGTGGACAGTAACCCAATCTTTGGAAAAAAATCAGCATGACTTTAGTATGTGAATTTATGTGAACTGGCTTACACTGACATACTGACTAATAAACCGGTGTGAATTAGAGCAATTTAAGTTACGGTAGTATTGGATTGAGAAACCTACTAGCTCCACTGTCTAATATGGGTTGTCTGCTGCTGCTTTGTTACAGTTCCCTTGCTGGTCCTCAGGAGTGCTGGCTGCTGACAGCTAACAGATTGCAAGTGGTTACTGCTCAGGTCAAAGTGTGTTTGAATCTGCAGTGCCTGGCCCTTCATAGCTTCACGGATATTTACACAGGTAGGAAATTTAGAGTTTACAGCACGAGTTCAGCTTAAACCCTTCTAAAGCCTTGGGTCCGTATCAGGATATTTTCTTGAGGCAGAAAAGCCTCCTTCCCTTGCATTTTATTAAAATTGAATTGTTCTACTGCTTTTATGCTTTGAGTAAGCATAAAACATCAATACTTTTTTTGAGGAAGACTATTCACTGCTTTATTAGTGTAGCAATCCTCTGTGTAGGTGGTAAATGTTCTGTGATTCATATCCTGAGGTCGTGGTCAAAGACCTCTCTACAGAGTGCTGTTCCTCAGTGCTGGCTGGTGGGACTCGGATGGTGGTGACTGCAGACGTCCTCCCGAGCAAGGTGGAGCTGAAAAGATGGATTGGCTCTTGTCTCTTCTAGCTTTTTATGTTTAAAAGCAGATCTAGAAGAAGATCTGATCTTGCTAATGTGCAGAAGGGTCATTTCCAGAAGCCATATCTAGCTGGTTCTGGAACATATTTTATTGTGAGGAAGATCTGGAAGCCCGCAGACAATAACTATGTTGTTGTAATTGCAGGCCTTTTCAACGTGGGCAACAAGTTGCTAGTGAGCTTGGATCTTCTGTTTGCAATCCGAAACCACATTAAACTTGGAGAGGATCCCAAAGTGGCTGTTGGCAGCATTCTGGACTCTGTTCAGGAGCAAACTGGTGGGTTTCCCTTTTCTTAACCATAACACTTATGCCAAACTCTGTGACCTCACCAATGATTGTAGGTTATAAAAATGGCAAAGCCGCCTCTTCTGGTGTGGTATGTTTCTGTTAAATTACTTCCTAAACCCAACGGTGCTTCTGTGGCCAGCTCTCTGTGACAGTTCTCCAGAGGACAGGCTTGTTCTTACTCTGCTTAGGAGAGTTTTCCCTACCTCTCCACTTCCTTTGGGAAGTGAAAGTTGTAACAGTGGTGTGTTCTCCTTTCAGAAAAAGCCCTGAGCCCTGAGGAGCAGGCTCAGCTCCAGGAGCTGCTGTGCAATGGCTACTGGGCTTTCGAGTGCCTCACTGTCCGCGACTACAATGACATGATCTGTGGAATCTGTGGCATAACCCCCAAGGTGGAAATAGCCCAGAGGAATGTGGAAAATGTCCTGGCCCTCAAAAGCATAGAGGTAGGCTTTTCCCAAACTTTGCATCCTGTTGGTGTTCAGAGTAGAGTAATGAGTTTTGCTGAGCCTAGTCTTTGTAATGCACAACAATTACACAAGGCCTTTGTAAGCAGTTTTCTGTCGAGGCCTGGCAAGAGGATGTGGCTGGAGTGGTGATGCCTGTGCTTCCTTTTAAACGTGTTGATCTGTTGTCTGGAGAAAACAAGTTATTCTGTTCCTGGACCACAGTCTCAGTCCGGCAGCCTTTGAAAGAAGGATTAAAATCGCTGAACTTAATCTTCTTCCTCTAAGATAAAAGTGTTCTGTTTTTTTTTCTTCAGTAGTGTTTCCCCTGATGTGTCTTCCCTAGTAAGGAGAAATACCCTAATAGTAGTATGCCACATACCTAGCGTTTTGATTAAATAGATTGTTTTGACTCTCCCAAGTGAAAAGCGATTGTGGGAAGCTCCAGGATGGAGAAGGGAGCCTTCTGACGTCATGTTATGTTTGGGCTGAGCAGTCTTCCTGCCCCAAGTGAGACTGGTATAGTACTGTCAATTGAACCGTGGCGGTTTGTGTTTGACAAGTGTGTTGTCTTGCTCTTTCTAGTTTACTTGGCCTGAATTCTTGGCATCAAGCGAAGTGAATGTAGAAGATTTCTGGTCCACAATGGAGACAGAAGTAATTGAGCAGGTGGCTTTTCCTTCCAGCATCCCCATCACAAAGTTTGATGCCTCCATTGTGGCTCCTTTCTTCCCTCCACTGATGCGAGGAGCAGTGGTGGTCAATACTGAGAAGGATAAGAACTTGGATGCACAGCCAGTGCCAGGTAACTGCTGAGGTGTTGCTCATTAAGGAGTGATGTGAGCAGTGGAGAATAGTCTTTTGCTTACGCTTTAGAGCTGAGAAATTATTATGCAGAGTTTTACAGAGTCATGTTACATCTGCTGACAGAAGGCAAAATGGTGGGCTGAGTTTAGCACTTCTAAGGATACTTAACAGCTTGAGCCTATGCAGTGAAGCTTGGATGCACAAGCGTGCCCTGAGGCGTTTGAGATGCAGAAAACATGGGAAAATGCTGCACCTCAACTGAAATACTGTCTGAATGAAAAGGGATACTTGTATAACTTGATTGCCAGTTGGCATATTTGTCATGTTGGACTGATACCTGCATTGTGAAAACTTCAGACAGTGTTTGTACCTCATTATCACAGTCTCAAAGAAGGGTTAATAATTCTTTAGCAGGTATTGAAAGAAGCCCAGGAGGTGGATGTGTTAGTCCTGGTTAGTGTTGTCAGCATGCAGCACATGCAGGACATTGGTGCATGTAACAGGAAACAATGAGATGAGTAGACTTAGATGAACAAAATTGAATTCAGTACCATCAAGTCCCCTTAGCAGTTCAGATATTAGGCACAGTGGAATTTGCACCTTGTACTGAGGAAAGAAAAGTGGCTTTGCAAGCCTACCAAGTATAGGAGATACTTTGCAGCTAATCCTTGGGACTGCAGCCCAAGGAGAGCTGAGACAGAGAATCACTACACTGGCTTTGTGGAAATGGGTCTGCAGAGAAAGCAGGGAGGAGGCAGTGCAAAGGATAGGCCTGGAGCTGCTCAGTCTGAAAACTTGTGGTCACTCTTAAGAGTCTACAGGCTCTCATGGGCTTGGGCTGTTTATAGATGAGCTTGCTAATGAGGGGTGAGAGTAAAATGCATGGGCTATGCCATACTCTGGAGTTAGGGCTGGTGATGACTTTCTCTTGCTGGCGGTTCATTGTGCGGTCTCTGCTTCTGTACTCTTCCAAAGAAATTATTTTGGTTGCTTCCACTTTGGAGAATGAGGGCTGAGACTTGTTTGCTGCCCTTGCAGGTAATGGGAGCGCTTTGGTGAGGCTTCTTCAGGAGGAGACCTTCAGGCTTGAGCTTATCGGCTCTTACAGCAAGGAAGAGCTGCAGAGCTTTCTGACACAGTGTGGCATTCCCTGGGAGGCTTCAGATACAAAGGTAATGTCTTGTTTGCCCACATACCAGCCTGCAGGAGGAGAGCTGTTCTTCTTCAGCTTTCCCTTTCACACTTACCATTCTGGATAATTAACTTCCGACCCGACCATGCTTGGGGCAGGAGTAGGTTAGAAGTGAGTGCCTGCAGATTGCAGGGTAACTTACAGGATGGAACAAACTGAACCTTTCTGGGCTGGAAGAAAGGAAGACGATAATTACCTTGTCACAGGTTGTGTTAATTGTTTGTCGTGCTTTAGTTAAGTTGGTGGGTGGTTAAGTTGTTAGAAGATATGCAAGTTGGGTCTTGGGAGACCTTTCCACAGCCTTCTCCCTCGGGAGAGACCATTAAATTTAGTCACCATCTCTGGGGACTCTTTTCTAGGACCACCTCTGCTACTGCCTCTTGGCTCTCTATGACTTTGTGCTGAACGGGACAAGCGTGAAACAAACCTCTGCCCATCACACAGGAGGGAAAGTTTATAAAGTGTGTCCGCATCAGGTAAGGAGGGCTGCAGTCAGCAGCAGCCTTGTTCTTTACCCTTCTAATCACTATTGCCCAACTTGCCAGTGTGGAACCCCCTCGTTGGACAGAAGCAGCAATGGGGTGGGCCTGTCTGGGCCTTGTTATTGAAAGAAACAAGGCCCTGCGTTGACAGACTGGGGGGTGTTCATCTGTCCTGTAGGAGATTGCAGGGTTGGCTAGAGTCATTGAAACCTGTTTGATCTGGCTGCTGGGATGGAGTTGAAAATTATCTCTTCTCTTTCTCCAAATACCTTTAGAGAAAGCAACTGTCTGAAACAAAGGACGCTTTTAATTTCTTTCTATTTTTTTTCCTGTCATAAGCTTTCAGTTCTGTTGTATTGCTTGCTGCTAATCTTTTTTCTTACTAGGTTGTGTGTGGCTCAAAATACATAGTAAGAGGAGAAAATGCCCGGGACCATGTGGACCTGTTGGTCTCTTCACGTCACTGGCCTCCAGTGTATGTAGTAGATACGGCCTCTTCAGTGGCCTTGTGTGCAGACGTCTGCTGTCCTGACCTGACTTCCCAGATGTGGGGGAAAAACCAGGGCTGCTTCTCTGACCCTATGGATCCTCCAACGGTTAGTTATGTCGCCTTTGCTATCTGCTGTGCCAGTCTAAAATAGAAAAAAAAATAATGAAATTAAGAACATGCACACATGCATGCAAAAACGATAAATATTTAACTATAGTGAGCGCTATTCTCTTCTGATTTTGGTCAAGAGCAGGCGTAGAGCATAGTGTACTGCACCGCAGGATAATTTACTTGGGGAGTGTTCCCTGACCCCCAGCTTTGCCAGTGTGGAGCTGCTGAACACTGCTGAAAACCGTAAGGGCTGCCGGTGACGTTGTGTTGTGTTTCCTCACCTCTTTAGGAGGCTTGTGCTGGAAGCAGCTCATGAGCTTTGGAAGATGCAGCTTATCTTGACCCTGCAACTTGCTTCCCTCAAACTGGCATTATTAGCTGAGAAATGAGAGGGAGAGGGTTGCTTGGCTCTTGGAATTATCTGTGATGACATAGGAGTGGGGAAGGGGATGTGCTGAACCCTCTTTCTGTAGCCTTCGGGGGAAGGCCTGATTAGCTGAGCTCTCCCTCTGCCCTAGGTCGTAGTGGTGGTTAAAGTTCAGCCAAATGTTAGTTTTGTCTTGTTCTGTCTAACCTTGGGGAAGTTCTGGTTCTACCTTTCCTGTCTGTGTGCTCCCTTGCAGTTGGTGTCCTGCCCTGAGCTGCTAGACCAGCACTACAGCGTAGACATGACTGTGGCCGAGCACTCCGTTCAGCACCCGGTCACCAAGTCGTCGGCGCGCCGAATCGTTCACATGGCTTCAGAGCAGAACAACCACCAGGATCCCACCGCTCGGCACCGCTGCATCTCCCTCTGCCGAGAGCTGGAGCCTTACAGCTCTGTCATTGCTGCCATCGGCGACAGCAAAACCAGTAGCATCCGCCAAAGGCCCATCACCTTTGAGAACGCCACGCACTATTACCTCTACAACCGCCTCGTGGACTTCCTCACCAGCAGGGAGATCGTGAACCGGCAGATCCAGGAGATCGTGCAGAGCTGCCAGCCTGGCGAGGTGGTGATTCGTGATGCTCTCTACCGGCTTGGCGTGGCCCAGATTAAAACTGAAACAGAAGAGGATGAAGAGGAGAACCAGGAAGAAGATAAAGAGCTTGCTGAATAAAAAACAGTCTGTTGGTTTCTCTTTCTGGTCATCTAGATGAGTGGTCTGGGCCACCGTCTGCAAGGTTTGGGCAGCTGCTGGGCTTGAGAGTTTATTTTGACAAGTTGGAGGTGTGATACTGATGGCTTGGACTGCTGTTACCGACCAAAGAGCTGTGTGCTTCCAGAGTAGCACGACTGCTGCTTTGAGCATTGGGGCTGTTACCCTCCTTGCTGAAGGCTGCAGTTCCCTCCCAAGGTGTGTGATGGACCCACTGTTCAGCCATGTGAGATGTTGACCTCCCTGTAGCTGGAGAGTGGAAAAGGGAGAGGCATTTCTGGTGGCTGGGAGTCTGCATGGTAAAGCACACAGGTTTTTTAATTCTGAATCTTGCTTGCTGACTTCTTTGTGCAAATTGGTACAGGGTTGGGGAGATGGGAGGAGACCTGGAAGGAGAATAAATATGCAAGAAATGTTTTCCCCAAAACACACTGAATAGGTCATTTTAGGGTGCTGACTCCTGCTTGGAAGTTTTGTAGGGCTCTCAGATGTATTGGCTGCTTTCACGGCTTAGTTGAGGAGAGGCACCTGTGCAGCCATAATGCACCAAATCTAGGGAGCCTCCGTGGCAGCTGCAGTTCTGGGTCCAGGATTCAGGTAGTTTGACTGCAGAGAGCTTCTTGGGTTGTTTGTCCCTTTGTAAGAACACTAATTGAGAAGCTGAAACCCATAGTAAAGTTTGTACATAAAGTAAGCAGTAGGGGAACCAAGTTTATCTAAGGGCTGTAGCAGTGCTGTGTAAGGTAACAGCTGATGAAACGGAAAGGATGCTCAGTTTCCACACTGTCGTCTTGGACACTCTACTTTTGTTCTTTTAGCAGTTTCATCCTATCCAAGGACTAGAGCTTGTCATCAGGGCCGAATCACAAGGACCATCTGTGGTAGTAAGGAGAAGCAGTGAATGCAGCGTAGCCAGAGAGGCCTGATCTGGGTTCTGCAGCCCTTCCTTAATGGGGGCTTCTCCCTACCTGTGTCCACCCAGCTCTGCACAGGTTAGTTGAGTCTCTTGCCATCCAAGTTGCTATTTCTGTTCCTTTAAAGGAGACCCCTTAAGAGCTGGGCCCCTGCATTATAGCTAATGAAGACCTTAAGGACTGTCTGCGAAGCTTCTTGTACTGTCAGCTCCCTTTTGCTATTGCAATAAATCTGAAGGTGGCTGTTTGGGGTCCAGAGAAGAGAGCAGGGGGGTGCTGGACTGTGGAATTGCCATCTGGGGGATTTATTTTGTTGTCTGGAGCAGTGGGGAAGATTCAGAGGCTTGTGGTGTGGTTGAAAACTCCCTTCTGTGAAGGGGAACCTATTGAGTACCGTACTGTAAATGTATTAAGTCTGAGCAAATGCAGTAATTATGGCTTGGGGTTTTTCTGTTAAGAACATTAACTTATTATAAGAGACATTAGTGACTTTTTTGCAGTCAGTTTAATAAATTATCTCCGATTTTGGGGGTGAAACTGTGGCCCAGTGAGTTGTTCTTGGTGTACAAGACCCAGAAGGTTGCACGGGGAAAGGGCAAAAACACTGTGTGTGTAAACTGTGATTCCAGGCTACACTGCCAGGAGCTGCGGGCTCCTGTCATGTCAGGGGGGAAATAATAAGGAGGAGAGGAAGAGGAAATGCAATATTCACAGGAGCAATTTGTTCTGAATGGAAGAGGCCGCAGCCTCCCTTGAGCTCCTCACCAGAGGGGCAAATGCAGACTTCCAGAATCCAAGCACTCTCTTACATGCAGCCAGGGTATTCTTTAGCAGTCAGAATGGTCCCTTTCAGGGTTTGCATGATTCCAGGATGACACATTCCTTCTGTGACTCCTAGAGATCAGCTGCAGTTTTCTGGTTTGCTATTTTAATTTCTTTAAATTTATTTTAAAGTAAATTACTCTGTACTGTCAGGGCTTATAACAGATGTCAGGATCCAGAATTTCAGTTTGCAGAAGTGAAGTTGGCTGGAGTTAAGGCGAGCTGAGGAGCCCATATGAGACCAATGTGAGGACTGTACCAGCCTGCCTGCTTGGTGGGGTCAGCAGTGGCTTCTTGTTCTGCAGTTCCTTGCTCAGCTGCTCCTGCCAGGGCTCTTGTGAGGAGCGAGTCTGCAGCAAGTGACAGTAACTTCTCTCCAGGTTAATGTTACCAGCACCTGGAGCTCCAGTTGTGTCTTCACTCCTGGTAGAGGAGGTTCTGCTGCAGGAAGCTGGAATTTCTGCCTGCCCTGTGCCCGTGTCTCGAACGCGGTGACCCTCGTTGGAAGTCCCATCAGCCCCTTGACATTGCGGCCCTGTTATCTTCACGCATACTGGTGAATACTTCATTTCCACCAATTAAAGGCAGGGTCTTCAGAGACAAATGCTTTAAACCCTTCTTTTTAATAAGCTTCCTAAGCTACACAAGATTCAATGGTCTTGAGCTGCTAATGAGAGGCACGAGTATCTGAGGATCAGGTGAATGGAGAGGGTGAGAGGGCAGGTCAGTGTCTCCCTCTTGCTCTGATCCCCCTCTGAGAACAATCCTGAAAGCCGGGGGAAAGACCTGCTTTATTAAGTATCTTACTTTATGCTGCTGACAGACAGAAATGCAGTGGCTTTTTATTTAGTAAGGAAGAATCAATCACTTGGCATTAGCATGAACACAGAGGTGGAGCACAGGCGGCAGTGGTCCCCAACAGCAGCCTGGGGAAGCCACGTGTCGTCCAGTAGTTCTGTCTTGTCATGGTTGGCCTAAGCTCAGTCAGGGCTTGTGCCTTTTAGTGCTCATCCTTTACCACCCCCGTGAAGTGCAGCTCAGCTTCCTTATCGACCCCGTGCTGGCTGCACAGGACCTGGGGGCTGTGGCATTAGTAACCCTGGGGCCTAGAAACACTAGACTAGAAATTCAGTTTAAGGGCATTAGGCCCAAGCTAGCTTATGAAAAAAAATGACCTTAACGCTACTATCAAAATAAACCTAAGAAAATATATACAAGAGCACGTCTGTAATTCCAAGAAAGGCAGTGAATTGCTACATGTTAAGAGTTCATATGTTTTGTAGGATATGCGTTATGGTGATCAGTTCTGGATCTGTTTAAGCTGCCATTCCTTCCTGGGCTGGGAAAGCAGTAGCTATTTGGAAGAGTGCTGGTCACTTCTGTATTTCACCTGAGAAAGAACTGCCTCTCTGCCCTGCTGCTGGGGCACGCACAAGTTCACAAAATAACTCTCAGGGTGTCCTGTTTCACCCACGAACTCCCTGCAGAAGCATCAGCTGCAGAGAAGCAGATTGCATGAGGAAGGGTAGAGGTTAATGCTTTTTTTTTGATGCAGGGTAGAAGTTTTAAGTGTATCTGAACAAGTGCCCTGCAGCACACAGTGACGGGCTGTCACAGGGGAGAGAGCAGAACTGCCAGGGACGAGAGCTGTGTCTGGTGTGAGGCAGTTTCTCACTTCTTCGCTCTCAAGACTGGCTTCAAGGCTTGCTCATGTCTGTGCACACACACCCGTGTGAACCATGAGCTCCGGAGTGTGCTGGTGAGTGACCTTTGGAAATGTGTTACTTAGCTGCAATTTGTTTAAAAAAATAAAAAAAAGAGACAACCCATCCTATGAATGCCGCATGGTATGACATGGAGCTGCGTGTCCGGGAAGCGGTGACCACCTGAGGTCACCCGCCAGGCCGAGGTGCTGGTAGCAGCTAACAGAACTGATAGTTGTTACTCTTGAGAAGGGGCTGCCCGCTCTCCTCGTGCTCGCAGGACTCCTCGCAGCAGCCAGAGGTATCGCAACCACTGTCCTCTTCAGCAGTGGAGGGAAGGTTCGTGTAGTCCTGGAAAGCAAAAAGCCAGAGTGGGTTTTAGAGGAAGACTTCTCTATCCCTGCACAGATAACGAGCTGGGATGTTAACATGAGACCATCTTGTGCTGTGTCCATGGGTTTTGTGGAGCTGCAGAACAGCTATTGACAAGAGAGAGCATCTTTTGACCAACTGTACATGAAATGCAGGGAGACCTTCCCTTCCCTCCTCTTTCAAGTTTCTCACCTGCTCCTTTTGTGTCTCCAGTTCTTTCTGGATGAAGCAGCAGATCTGGTCGAAGGTAGGTCTCTGCGTGGGCTCCAGGCTCCAGCACGCCTGCATGATGCTGTAGCTGCAGAGTCAAAGGGGGACAGGCTGCTCAGTGAGCTGACCAAAGGCTGCAGAAGGGTCTGCAACCCCCTGCTCTTCCCTGCAGCCCACTGTGCTTGGGCCTGGGACACCAAGCAGCTGCTTGTCCTCTCTTTTCCTGCCTATACCACCTTCACTCTATAGGTGCAGTGCTCCAGGGGCTGGGAAGGGCAGGAGGACATACAGCAAACTCCTTCTCTACACCCCTGATCTGTCTGCAAGAGACTTGATGCCTCCAGTAATTTTTTTTTAATTGGAACTTGTTCCTTTTCTCTAGCCTACTCAGGCTTCTCACATGCTTGGGATAAAAAATTAGATGGCAGAAAAAGAAGCTGTCAAAATTCACAAGTGGGAAGATGATGGAGAAGCAAGGAGAACTCACATGAGCAGGGGAAGCAGTAGGTAGAGCATCATAACTCGCTGTCACAAGACTTATTTCCTATCTTAAGGAGGCAGCTTGACAAGATTCAGTCCTCAAGGGGAGATCCTGCTGCCCGAGGTGGCAGATGTGTGCCAGGCTCCCTGTGGCCTCCCTGGCCTTCTTCCATGACCTGGGTGCAGCCCCGCCTTTCATCCAGTGTTTGCAGTTCCCCACAATCCACTCACATTTCCAAGGGAGCAAAGTCAGGCCTGGCCATCTGGTAGCCCTGCTTCACCATGCTGTAGAACTTGCTGTTCACCACCATGCCAGGGTAGGGGCTTTTACCTGTAACAGGGATAGAAGCCAGGACAGCGCTCAGGGCAGCAGCTTTAACAAACCTTCAGTCTAATGTGTACCTTGGTGGGTGGGAGGAAAGAGCTTGGAGCAGCAGCAGAGCCAGTGCTGCTCTTCCCCCTCTAGGTTTTTTAATTGCCCCTGCCCTGATAAATCCTTGGAAAGTTTTCTGCAAAGATGGTAGGGTGGTGCTCACGGAAGCCAAACACAGTTTGTAGGCTCCTTTCTTTCTTACCAAGGGAGAAGATCTCCCAAAGAAGGATGCCGTAAGACCACACGTCACTTTGCACTGTGTAAATGCAGTCAAAGATGCTTTCTGGGGCCATCCACTTCACGGGCAGGCGTGCCTGGAAGAGCCAAGACATGTCCGGTCTGGGAAGGGCTCACTGGTTATACTGTCCTCTCTCCAGCCTCACCACCCCCTCACATCTTCTCCTGTTCCTATCCCAATCACTTACATTGCCTTTCACAACGTAGTTGGAGTCATTCATGATGTCCCGGGCCAGGCCAAAGTCGCAGATCTTGGCTACCCGTCCATCCGACACCAGCACGTTCCTGGCTGCTAAGTCACGATGGATGCACTGGGGAGGAAAGAGAGGCAACTGAGAGCCCAGCCCATGTCCCCACCTGCTCTCCTACAACCTGGGCCTAGCACCATAACCACACTTAAAGGATAAAATCCTTGTGAGACTTTCAAGGCACTGTGCCATGGATAAGGAGTAGGGACTTTCTCCTTTCAACCACTTCAAGTGCTGAAACACTGTGACATTTCATGCTATGCCCTTCAATAATTCACATGGCCTTTAGCTTCCCTGTGGAAGGTGACTCAGAACCAGGGTCCCTTGGCACTGCTCCCATGTCTCATGTCAGCAGATGAGTGTGCTGCTCTCTGGCATGCTTAAAATGAATAGCACGGGACAGCTCTGCATCAAGGCTCTTGATCTCATGTGAAAGCTGGGCGGAAAGGGGGTGACACCAACACGATGCACGGCCCTGAGTTCCCCCACTCACTGCTGCCCTGTTGGGCTGGCCGGCCTGGAGCCTGGTGGAGGCAGTATGGAAGGAAACACACTGCTCCCATGCTGTCCCCTGGCATGGCTGAGCCCAGACACGATGAAAGAGCTCAGCACATGGAGGAGAAAGGCTCATTTCCAGCAGCAGCTTTGGGGTTTGGCCGCCCCATCGTGACTCTTGTGCAGATGTGGTGACTGGACTGAGGTTTTCTGGCCTTGGTACAGGGACATTCATCCTTTTGCACTCACGTTCTTTGATGCAAGGAATGCCATGCCCTGGGCCACTTGGCTGGAGAACTGTAACAAGTCAGAGAGATCAAGGGGACGGAGGTCCTCCCTGGTTTCTTCTTCTTCCTCTGAGCCTTTTCCTGGAATTCAAAGAGAAGCTTTGGAGTCTGTGCAAGCCTGGTGATTAATGCAGACTATGCAATATTGCAGTTCCCCGAACTCAATCAAACCGGACAACTGGAATGAAGAAATGATGAAAAAACAAAAATGGGTTTTAACTCACCCCTGGCTTGTGCAGAATCTGATGCTGAAGATGCTGATGTTGATGATGACACAGGCCTCATCTCAACATACGTATCCAAACCCTGACTTGCAAAGCCACTGTCACTGAGTCAGGGAGCAACACAGACAGAGGCAGACTGTTAGCAACCTTACGGTAGCACCTTCTGCCCTTCTCCACATCCACTGAGCAGAGAAACCACATCCCTGCCCGCGGGAAGTGGCTTAGCTAGAGGCTAAAAGGCAGAGTCGATGTTGAGGCTGACTCAGAAAGGGAACCTGGGTGCCTTGCGGTATGAGGGCTACAAACACCCAAAAAAAGGGCTACCCTGTTGTAAAGGGGTGGCTCTTGACTGATGGAGAGCCCTTAGCCTCTTGTCCTGCAAACTCAAATGCTCTTTGAAAAACTTATCTAAACACATACGTTCTTAGTGTCCTTTATGTCTTTGTGTTGTGCAAATCCCCAGACCTTTGCCCTTCACCTGCCACCATAGCACAGCCCCCCGGGCACCCTTCTGCAAGCCCCAGGCCCTGCACGCGCTGTGGGGCCCGGCTCTTACCTGCGGATGTATTTCTTCTCCAGGTCGATGTTTTTGTAGTCAGCAGTGCTGTCCAGAGAGGTGTCCAGGGATGAATCCTGGATAATTATGGATTCAGCTTTCTTCCGCAGGAAATTCAGCAGATCTCCATGGCGACAGTACTCAGTGATGACCAGGATTGGGCCTGGGAGAGAGGCAGAAAGGAGTCATTGAGAAGTGACTGTTTTCCTTGAGGGTCTTGCCTTGTCCAGACCTTCCCATGCTTGTGCTGGGAATCATCACTTCCACCTTGAAGTACATGGGGGTTTCTATGGGGAAAGTTCCTTGTCTGGAATAAGCATCAGTCAGTGTGCTGTCTCAGGCACCTAAGCCCCTCTGAAACACCTATTTGTGAAGGCAGTACTGCCAGGGAAAATATTCACTGTTTATATATTTTCCCTCAGAACCTTGTAGAGTTACAGGATCAGAAAAGTCCAATGGGCTCATCAGGTACCTCTCCCTTGCGAGGCTGAAGAGAATTACCAGCCTCAATGAGCAGGTTGGGTGTGTGTGGGGGATTCCTGGGGACAGCAGGGCTGTGGGGTCCTACCTCCATGGGTACAGGCTCCCAGCAGGTTAACAATGTTCTCGTGGTGTCCCAAGTGACTCATGATCTTCAGCTCAGACATGAGGGCCTCCTGCTCATCTGTGTCTGCCGATGCTGGAAGCCAAGAGGAGAAGGATTGTGAAGGAGTGACAAAGGAAAGTGGGAAGGAGTGGTGAGGGACAAGGCAGAGAAGACAGTGATGGGAGAGAACAGAAAAGGTAGAGACAAAGATGGTACAAAGGGAGGAAAGAGTCAGAGGGGAATATGTGCCCTCTGGCTATGCAGCCACAAATCATGTGGCTCATCTACCCAATGTTTATCACAGAAATGTCTAAAAAGAGTAAGGTTTACAGCCTGGAAGCATCAGCGGATGTGACAAACACACCCTACATCCTGAAGCATTTGCAAGCTGCTCGGGACTTACATTTCAGCATCTTCACAGCCACTTTGAGGACTGAATCTTCTTTACCCAGCCCAAAAGCAGTAGCTTCTACCACTTTTCCAAAGGCTCCAGCTCCAAGAGTTTTTCCTGTAGAAGAAAAAAGGTGCACTTATAAGATGCTTTCTAAAAAGGGATTAAGTAGTTGTCCAGCACCCAACTTTGAGAAGGTCTGATGGGTATATTCCTGCTGAGCCCAGACAAGATGACACACGAGCACATTTACTCAGAAGCTGGTACATCTAAGAGGAGTGCTACTGTAAGTAGAGGTAGTCTGAAGGAAGGAATGTCCAAAAATTGGTCTCACTAGCTCTATGCATTATGAACAAACTAGATATAAGAGGAGGGATGGGATCCTCTCAACCTTTCTTGGAACAAAGGAGGCCTAGATGGAGGCTGTACCCTAGCATTTGACATTCTGGATGGAAAAATCAGCAGGGCATGGCTGATATTGTTGCTGTAATATCTGGATGCAGCTTTGGATGTAGCCTAGTTGCTTTGGTTTTGTCCTTTAGCACCTGCCACCATGTAAACAGCAAGGAAGGTTTCTTACCAAACTGGAGATTATTCCTGGGGAACTCCCATTTCTCATTGTATGGCAGCTGAGTGGGATCAATGAAGATGTAGTTATTCCCTTCACAGGCCTCAATGATCTTCCACCGCACCTGGTACTTGGGTTTCTGTGAGGAAGAGACTTCAGTTATTCAATGTTCCTCCAGGTCTGAGGGTGCCCCTGTCCCAACACTCACACTGGCTCCCACCTGAAAGCACAGAGCAGGGGCCTGGGTTTCAGACCACCAAGGGAAACTGGGTCTAGAGAGGCCAGTCTCACTGCTGTGACAAAATCCCCTGCTCCTACAGCATGGCTGGGGGGAGGCCCTCTTGCTGCAAAGAAGACCATGGGATTCACTGGGACAGGAGTGTTGGGGGATCCAGCCTGTCCCCCCTGAGCAGTGCCCAGCTGGTGCTGGAGGGAGATCTCCAGCTGTGCCTCCTGCCTGGGCACCTTGGGTTGCTGAGCAAGCAGACTGCGGGAGATGGCCCAGCCCAGCTTCCCTTACAGGGAAAAAAGAAATGGAGAAACAGAAGTGAGAATTTCTTCTCTTTTCCACCAGTGTTACGGCAGAAGTAACCAGGCGAGTACAGGGAGAAGCAGCGCTGGAGCCTGTGGGCAGAGGCTGCTGCCAGCTTAGGCTGGGTATCGTGTTGGGAGAGCGAGGCAGTCACCCCGGGGGCACAAATGCAGAGAAAGGAAATGTGGCAGCTTGGCATGAGCGCGCTGTACACAGCCCTTGCCTTGGAGTGTGGAGACAGGCAAAGCCCTGCACCTCAGAGCAGCCCTGCGGGCCTCAGGGCCGTCAGAGCAGGCATGGGGAAGTGGGGTGGAGCGAGGCAGGCTGCAGTGAACCATACCGGGTCGCAGCTCCTGGGAGCTACGTGCAGAAAGGCTCCTCCTCACCACTGCCCCGGGATAGCTACGGAGAAGGATGCCTACAGCTGGGTTAGCAAAGCAGTGAAGGACAAAGCCTGGAGCAAACAGAGCTCCTGCAATTTGATGAAAAGTATCTGTTTCTGTTTTCTCCTAAACACTGCTCCTTTTTCCTTTACCTAAGAGTTAAACAGCTGTGTCCACCCAGGCTGTGCATCAACGACACCTTTGTAATTGAGCTTCCAGCAGTGGTCATAAACAGTGCTACCTGCACTGCACGTGTTTGCTGTTGCCTTTTCCAAGAGGGTGAGCATTGCTGTTTTCTGTTCAACAACTCACCTACCAAAGCATCAATCGGCCATGGCTCAAGAAGCCCATGGGTGGCACAGCCTCAAGCACATCCTGGTTCCCCGGAACTTGCAAAGCCCTCCTAGAGGCTATTTCTCTGGGGCTGATGTGCTCACACATCCATTCACCTCTCTCTCCCTGCACTACTGGCCAGATCTGGTCCCACAAGGGAAGATCTCTGCAGCTGGGGCAGAGGTTTCTTGGGAACAAGGACAGCTCTCCCTGCAAAGCCATGGATCCTTGTCTGGGGGAGTGCTCAACTGGATCTTGTGACAAGCAGGCACTTCAGAGTTCCCCTGCAAAACTGAGCCTCAATGGGAGAGGAATGTGCCAACGGGAAGACTGAAAAACAGGAGATTTTCATCCACTGATGAAGCAGAGGTGGCTATTGACTGGTGTGGAAACAACCAGGAAGGAATCCGAATGCTGAAAAGGAATCTTGCAGAGAAAATGGGGCAAGTTCTAGAGTAAAAATAGTGACCAAATCTTCCTGGAGACAACTGCCTTCTCAGCCTGTTTCCCCATGGAGACAGCCTTTTTTTTTTTTCTTTTTTAAGTATATATAAAAAGCAGGAGTAGATGCCATTGCATAATTGTTTTTTCCCTTCTAACTCAATCTGTGGATTCTTGCAAAACTGACAGCATCTGACAGCACAGAACAAGCACCTTTGGTGCAGAGCAATACTCGTAGTGAACTCTGCTCTGCAAGCCTGAGGGATCTAAGGGAGGAGATTTGTTCGCACAGCAGATCTGGTGCCTTGTGGGCTTTGCCTGGCATTAGGAAACTCCCGAGGGGCTTGGGAGGCAGTTGGGAAGAAGGCAGGTAGCCTGGTACTTCCAAGCTGAGTGCTTACTGCCAAGCAGAGCAGTCTCCGGGGTTGGGCAGGAGCTGCAGCCCTTGCTACAGAGCAGGGAGTCTGACCTGGTTGTACTTGTAGAGGAGGAAGAGGAGTAGGAGGAGCAGCAGGACCGATGTGCCCATGCAGGTGGAGAGAATGGGGCTGAAGAGCTTGTTCGGGGGAGCCATGATATTTCCTGGAGGAACAAAGAAGCAGGGGTGAGAAACTGCTCCCATTTCATTGCTAATGCACAAGCTCCGGGAGCATTTCACCTAGTTGCTGTTCTGAATTAGCTTTCCCCTGTATACCACAAAACCCAGCACTGCCCTCAGAGACACCTCTAACAGCTTCCCTTGAATCCCAGTAGCTCTTGACATGAAACCCAAAGGTCAAATATCACAACCTCCCACCATGAGCTTAGAGTGACTCTAGAATCTATTCTACCTCTTGCAGAAGATGGGCACCCAAAAGCCTATATCCTCCCTGCAAAAATCTTGCCAGTTGTGATCTTACTGGTGACGGTGACAGAGTGAAGCATGTCGGAGGCATTCCCCTCTCTGTTAATGGCCACACAGCAGAAGGTGAAGTTGTCACCCAGATTCTGGAATGGGAGGATGCTCTCCACTTCCACCTCTTGGAAAGGCAATATGTTCACCACGTGGGGACTGGAATCATTCACAAGCAACATGTAGTCCTCATTGAATCTGCAGAAATACCATAGAAGAGAGAATGAGTGTTTCTCTGCTGGGCAGTTCCTCATGAGTGAATTGGTGCCTGTAGCAAGCTAGACAAGAGACACTGGGAATCAGGGCTGCAGCTCTATGAGAAATAAAGACCTTTCTTGAACATCAAGGCCCTGCATTGGCACATAGCTTTGACCAGCTGTATGTGGCCATCACTCTGTTCTGGCTCCTCCTTGAAGGGGGAAGACACAGTAGCTCCCTGTCTGGGGCTGCACTGGCCCCCATCACCCTACAGCTCAGGACACTTGTGGATGGTGGTTTTGTAGAGTTTGGTAAAGCCTTGGGCCAGTGAGGTCTTCCAGGAGGTCCCTGAAAAATTAATAGGACTAACCAGAACAGCTCTACAGCAACTATGTAAGGGCAGTTCTCAAAGGGATTCAAATACTCATTGGAAAAGCCTTAGGAAAACATGAATCACAGGTGGCTGAACTCTTCATGCTTAAGAACTTCCTAATAGTATCAGCCCCCTCGCCTTGGATAGTGCCCGAGAACAACTCTCTTCAGCAGGACAAAGTCTCTCTCCAAAGTTCCTGGCCTGGCTACATCACCTGCAAGCAATCCTTTGCGAGGATGTGGTGCAGTTGGGAAAATGCAATGCTGCAAAGGCAAGTGCCTACGTGTTGGAAGTGCCACTTGGCCCAGGCTCCAGGACATTTCTTACCTGGTAGAATGAACAGGGCACTGGTACCACTCAATGCGTGGGGCAGGGTAGCCGATGGCCACGCAGTGAAGGACGTTGGAGTCATTGGCTGGCACCCTGATGGAGCAGACTCTTGGAGCGGCTGTTGGGAAGGCAGAGAGACATGGGTGCTAGGACCAGAGGAAGATCCTATTCCCTGTGCTCTGAATCACTTCCATGTGATTGACAATAAAAGACATGAATTCCTGTGCTACGTCTGGGTTTGGGATTGGACCCAGATACAATCTGGCTTCATCTCCCCTGAGCATTGGGCTGGAAGCTGCCTTGGCCCAGTGCCTTGGTACTTCAGCCATACTCCTTGCCTCCTGGACAGTAAACCCAGAGGGGTAAGAGAGCACTTACATTTCACAGAGATGCTGAAGGTCACCGATGCATTGGTCTCATTGTTGAGGGCATAAAAGGTATAGAGGCCATTCTCCCCTTCCTGCAGACGATTCAGGAAGAGCGTGTTGTTGTACCTGCTCCCACAGAGAGAAGAAGCCCCGTGAGGAAAGCTGTGCTAAGAAAACTCACATAGTCTGCTCTGTGCTCTGCAAAATGTGTCTGTTGCCTGTGCTCTGGAATATCTCCAGACCTGCCGGGGAGGAAAGCTGCTGCCTCTTTCCTTGGGGGATGCAAGGAGGGTCTGATCTCACCCGCTGTTGAAAAGCTTCCCCTTAGAAGAAAGGGCTTTCCCTTTCATGGTGCCACAGAGTGCACCATGCTTCTGAAAGGCTACAGATAGGTGAATGTTCAGGAATAGAGTTTGAAATATAGTTCTAGAGTTAGAGTTTAGAAATCACTGCCTAGGAAGGGCCAGAATATGTTGGTCCCTGTGTTCTTGAGTCACTCCTCCTATCTCTTAACCCATCAAGTCAATGGTTCCCAGTGTCCCCTCCCCTCTGCCCCCAGCACAACTCCCAGATCCTGATTCAAATGAGTTTTGTCTCTAAAGCCATCCTGCTTGCTGAGTGACACAGTTCCTCTTGTGGATTGTTTTTTGTTTCTGAGAAAATGAAAGAGGAATTGCCGAATCTCACCCAACGAACAGGGCAAGTGTCTTGCTTTCAGGCTCGTTTTGACCTGGGTTGGCTGTAGACTCTGGGAGGAGGATGGCCATGCACCCCCCTTAGATCAGTACCTATCATAACCTCATAGTGATGTGTCTGGCCTCTCTTGACAAGAGACATACAAGTGTCTGCAGGTGCTTCTCCCCAGAGAGCACAGTGTGGCACAAGTCTGAAGGACAGTGCAGGAATCCTTTTATTTTTTTTGGTCCTATACACCCACCCCTGCAATGTCTTCCTGCTGAGAGAGGGCAAACTTGAGCAACCAGAAAACAAACGTGACAGTGACTTTGACAAGGTTTTCTGAAGAGAGAACTACCAAGTTAGAGAAAGGTGCCTCTCTCCTTGGCCTGATGGCTTGTTGGAAACGGAAAGGCAAAACCGTTCTCTTTAAAACAAGGTTTTCTATCAACCAGTGGGATGGGGTCTGGTTGTCTCACATAGGAACATGCCATGGCTCATGCAGGACAGAGAAAGCACATACCAGTTGTTTCCAGAGGTCATTTCGCCCTTAAGTGTGGTGGTTGCAGACTTCTTCAAAGAGTTGGTGTGCTTCCAGCCCCAGCGGAGAAGGGCAGGGTAAGCCTCAATCAGGACCTGAAGTTTCAGGCTCTCTCCCAAGGCAACTTCCTGGCTGGTGGCTTGCACTGGGGTCAAGAACACATAACCTCTCTCTGAAGGACACAGGAGAGCAGGGCCATCAGCAGGCACGTCCACAGAGAAGAAAAAAACCTGAAACAAGCTTACACGGTCTTCACCAATGGATCAGTATTGGAAAGAGCAGCCTCAGCTAGGAGACCAGGAGACAGAATGAAATATTACTCAAATTGCATGTCTCATATCATCAGAATGCTTTAAAATTTCCTCTCTGCCATGATGGCTTGGATTGCATGCTACCCAAGGAAAGCTGGGGAACTCTAGAGAAGTTACACAAGGTAAGAGGGTTTACACATTGCTAACTATATCTCCTGAGCATCTATAGAAGATCTACCCTTTGCTAAATTCTTAGCTTCTCACCTGGAAACATTTCAGGGTAAGTCTGGAACAGCTGACTAAAGCCATACAAGGATTTAGTATGGACATACCCTGCTTTTTTGTTTTGTTTCAAAGTTGTTTAGAAAAGAACATAGAAATTAAGAAAGGCTCTCTGTTTTTTCACCTAGACCCAAAAATACCCTCCTGCTCCTCAAGACATGAAGTGAGCAGTTCATTTCCTAGCAACTGCACAGGCCTTGGGTGAGTTCTCACACAGAGGCAAGGATGATGTCTCCAGCAAGCTAGGAACAAGAAGGTGGCAGAAGCAGCAATTCACGATTCAGCTCACATCTCCCTGGCCCTTTTGGGAAGTACTCACCTACTACCTGCAGCACTGCTGAGACACTCTTGGACCCTGCAGAATTGTTGGCTACACACGTGTACTTCCCACTGTCTTCCATTGTCACTGCCGGAATGATCAGGGTGTAGCTGATGATGTAGTGATCATTCTCAAATCTAATCTCTGTAGTTTTGTTGGCCTGTCAGGCAGAGAGAGAATATCAAGCACTTGCTTGGATGGAACAAAATAATATTTATATCAAATGTACCTAACATGGTGTGTTTTGGGCCACCAAGCTTTGTTATAGAACCTCTGTTACTAAAACTCATCTCTATGGAGAAAAAGAGGGATATTAAAGCTAAGTAATGAGGACAGAGGGATATTAAAGCTAAGTAATCAGGACAGATATTCCACTACAGGCATCCTGAACATGTCTTGTCCCTTTCTTTCCTGAAGGAAGACCCTGACAGCACACAGGTGTTTCTTAACCCTGTGCCATCCAAAGAAAAGGATATCTATATTAAGATTTCTACTGCTAAATTACAAATAGCTAATAGTTACTTTGGCTGGGCAGTATAAAGCTTTGCTGCAGACAGCTTGGATCCATGGTGGTTCTTTCTCCCTGGTGTCCCGAGAGGCCTTATCCACCCTTGAAGCTGTGCACGCAACTTACGTTCTTTGCTGCCACCCATTTGATGTTGTACTTGTGAGAAGGAGCAATTATTCTGCAAGTGACTGTGAACAGTTCACCCACGATTCGCACGTGATCTTCAGGGTCGATCATCACTGATAAAGGCTTCTCAAGGGCTAGATAAAGGCAAGCATGAAAAATTTCAATGTCGGCTGGCCCAATGACCCACCTTGTTTTAGAGACTCCCCAGGGACTGTCTGCCTTCTGTTTTTCCTTCATTCTTTATACCCTTGTTTCTCCTTTCCTAGGGAACATTGCTCCTTTTTGTATGCATGTGTCTATGGGGAAACAATAAGGACAGGTGAGACCACACTAAACACCACTACAAGTGGTTCTTTTGGCTTTTTCTTATGGAAGGAAAAGCAGTGGCCAACTGAGCTATTGCTGTCCCCCTGAGGTCAGTAGCAACCCCAACCCTTTACCTTCTTCCACAATCAGTCTTATTCTTGATGACTTCTTTATTTTTCCATTTATCACTGTTTGACAGTAGTAATAGCCCTTCTGCTGGTGTTGCACGTTGTATAGTGTCATTCCCTTCTCTGCACTGAAAGAATAGTTGGTTCCCGTTGGGTAGCCAGAAGCGTTGTCTACTGTCAGAGTTGCACTGGATCCGTACTCAGGGGCCGTGATGAGACAAGGGAGTTCAGCGTTACTGCCTTCAGTCACAACAATCCTGAAGGTTGGAGTGTACCACACATTATTGGGATCTACAGAGGAAACAAGACAGGCCAAAGAACCACATCAGGAAAACATGTGTTAAAGCTAACAGAGACATTCCAGCCAAGCCTCTCCAGCATTACGGCTCACTAGGAGTTGGGAGCATCCCTGCTTAATGCGTGGTTCACTCAGCCTCCAAAACTTACATGACAAGACCTTTTGCAGGTGTGGCTGTTGAGGAGAGCAGAGCTAGCAAGTTATGAATGCTTACAGACAAGAGATTAAGAAATATTTTTAGCACTCTTCAGTCTTTAGCCATGGTATTGGTTTTGTAAGACCTCCACCTTTCCTGTGCAGAACTGTTCCTGGTACAAGGGAAGGGGTGAACTCCATGCTGCTGTTACCATACCATAGCTCCTTTTGGGGTAAAAGAATATTTAGGGTTCAGGTCACATAGTGGAGAAATGATTAATGCGAATCTCTTCCATATCTGGGGTACTGAGAATACAGCTTTTCCCTGATTTCCAGATCTCATTGCATGTTACAACAGAAGACAGACCTTCATCCCTTTCTTCAGGAAGAGAAACAAAAGTAAATGGAAGAAGAGGTCTATGACACTCATTCATCTGCAGGAGATGCAGGTGCTCTGTGCCTGACCCTAATGCTTCAGCCATGGACCCTATGTTATGTGGGTGAACCACAGCCCTGGTAGGAGCCTGCACTGTTCCCCAGACATGCATGACCACAGCCATAGAGAGGACCTGCATAATGACTTTGCTCCCTGAAGGGAGGTCACTCTTCCTGCACATGTGGGAGGAGAGGACAACAGTTACCTCGCACAAACAGATGCACAGATGCGATGCCCTTGTCGTTACCGTTGACATAGCCACACTTATAGGTGCCTGTATCCCTGTAAGTGGCCTTGGGAATTCTCAGTGTGCTGTTGGTGCGGTTGGTGGATGTATTCTCTTGGCCATACCACTGAACTTCAGAATCTCCTGAGCAGTGTAATGTGACTGGATCACCTGTATTGACCACCACAGCAGGGCTGTCAGGGCTGATCACTGGAGATGCTGAGCCTGCAAACAGAAAAGAAAGAGAGGGAAGATGCACAAATGATTCTTTAGGATGCTCTGCTGAAGTTCACACTGCTGAACATGGAGTAGATATCATTGGGAAAAGACTGGGTTTGGGATGCAGACATTTTTGTGTCACATTACTCTGGCCATTTCCCACCTCACCAGACTGATACAGTGACCTGAACGTTCAAGAAATGAATTTCAGAGAAGGAAAATGAAACCATATCTAGATGTGCAGAGTACTGTAAAAGAAACACAGGCATTTGGAACTGATCAGGCCAGGTGCTAGCTTGGAAATTCCTGGTTCCTGTTAAGTTTTGCCTCTTTTCACAACAGGTTTTCCTTTTGTAGTGGAAGTAGAAGTACTGGAAGTAGAAGTACTGTAGGAGTTAAGTGAGCTGATAATTTTATATGGTGAAGTTCAGTCCAAGCCCAGTGGATGGAGCTCTCTTTTTTCCTGGTGCTATCATCAGCTAGAAGCAGCCCGGAAAGCTTCTGCAGAGCAGGAGCTTGGTGCGTGTACTTTGGGAAGCCTGTCTTACATACTTGTGGAGGAGGAGATTTTGAAGGACACCTACAGAATCAAAGAGTTTGTTTTTCCTCCCCTATACCATCAACATATTAGGAAGTGAACAGTAAACACCGTTTAAAATTCAATTTTGAATTTAAAATCAATTTTGAATTTAAAAATCAAAAAGTACATGAGAAGAGAAACTAAGGCACATAAAAGCTAAATGGCTCCTGCAAGTCCACAGCCATCATTCTATAAACTGTCACTTGCTATTGCAATCCAGCCAGATTTCTGATGCCATTTCTGCCTTGAAGATGGCTTCTCCACCATCCGAATAAAGGGGAACCAGAATCCCACTCCAGCTCTCAGTGTCAGAAGGATATATATATTTTTTTCCCTGTTTTGCTGCGTCAGCAAGTTCTTTGACTCACCACCTATATTTAGGGTGGGGGGAAGTGAGAAATGAATCAGTGTCGTGGAGCTAGAGAAGAAGTGGTACCGCCACCCCCACGCCAGGCCTCTGCCGAGGACAGGAAACACATTGCACATGGCCATCCGTGCTCGAGGGGCTCTGCACCCCGACTCCGGCCCCTATCCAGGGCTATTCTCCCACTTCTGCTTTTCTTCCCGGTTGCAAACCCATCCTCACATCTTAAAGGGACAAACACTAGGGTTCAGTTAATAGTAAGAAGAGAGGGATCAGCCAGCTGCTCTTAGCAGCGGATGATGTCTGCCTGGGTAGCAGAGCTGCTCTGAGGTGGTGGCAATGGGAAAAAAAGGGCCAAATCTGGTCTTGGGATGCATCAAAATGCTGTAGGCCTCGGTGCGCAGATGCTCTGTAGGTTGTAGGTGGGGACATTTGTTGTCCAAGGAAACATAAATGCCCCAACCTGGCAGGAATTAAGAAAGGACAAAGCGTCCCAAAGTGTCCCACCATTCATCCAGCTGCACTTCTATATTTGCAAGGAGAAGGAGAGCAGTGGCCTGAGCTTACAACTCTTCCCTATTCAAGTCTGCTGCAGGAAAGAGAGCCATGGAGGACTGGTTGTGGGCACGGGCAGCAGCAGCAAAGACAATTTAAAGCACTCCAGTCTCCGGATGCCGCTTTGGACAGAGGACACCGTCCCTCAAACTGAGTTGGCAAAAGCAACGTGGACATTTGCTCAGCCGCATTCACAGCCCTTGGTGAGGAAGAGGATGGCTGGGGTGCAAACACGCTCCCTGCCCTCCCTTGCTCCGCTCAGGGCTGCCACAACAGACCCCAAGGAGCACGTCTAAAGCAGCCTTGGCCGAAAGTTTCCCCCTCTCCGTGCAATGGAGGGAAGAGCTGCAGGAGACCTAGGCCCTAGAGCTTTCCTGGCGCATGACACTGATGCGGCTGCCCTGGGGAAACCCAAACAAGGCCTGAATCAAAGTGGCTGGCCCTGGGGGAGGAAGCAGGGCACAGGGAGCCTGGGAGCATGGAATGTTTGACATTTTATCTCCTCGAGGTTATTTTTTCTTCTTTTTGTTGTTTTTATCTGTCTGTGGAAAGAGGAAAAGCCTCATTTATTCCCAAAGTGGAGAAAAACATATCCCAGAATCCGTTGCAAAGCCACATTTTCCACATATCTGAGGTGCAGCATTCCTCCCTCTTTGCTTAGCTCTGTTTTCTAGCAGGGCTTGACACATCTCTGGTGCTTTTACTCTCTACCACTGCACACTTTTGCCTTGCCAGCTCTTCACTTTGGCTGGCTGGCTGTGTCCAAGGCTTCAGCAAGGTTTGATGAGGGAGCCAAACTTTCCTTCTCACAGAGCTGCATTCAGACTGTCTTGGGAAAAGTCCATGTTATACCTAGTCCTTGGTGGGGCCACAACAACAGGACAGAAGCAAGAGTCTTGTCACCCATTGTCCTTGTTATCACTCTCCAGCAGCTCCCAAAACACATCTGAAAAGGGTCCCAGAGGACTTATTGTACCTAATGCCCTGCAGTGAAGAAGCCAGCAGCCTTCAGGAGGTCACTGAAGACTCAGGAATGGCAAAAACACTCTGCACAGGTAAGGATGGACAGGGTGAAAAACAGGGACACTGACCATGGGACCCTTCCAGGTAAAGGCCTCCCAAGGGCTCTGTTCCCTGCATGCACTGGGAGATGACTCAGAGATCCTTCTCCCCTTCCTCGGAATAGGGAAGCAGGGCTGCTGGCGGACGCTTGCTCCCTGCTGACCAGTGTGCAATCTTGCACGAAGCCCAGGGATGTCTCTGTGCTGCTCCTCAGCAGCTTCCTCAACACTGCCAGTAACAGCTGGCCGAAGGTTTTGCCACACTCGGGTTGTGTAACTGTGACCTCTAGTTACAGCTACGGGCTCCATCCCTGCCTTTCTGATCACAGCCAAAACATAACTCTGCTCTGCTGAGGGTTTGGAAATGGCAAGTTAAGGAGAAATGACTTGGAGGTTCAGTGAGTTTGCACAGAGGAGAGTCACCAGGCTCTTGGCTTGATCGTAGGAGCAAGAGTCTGGCTCTTGGAGGGACCAACATTAGGTATGGGCTCCCCCTGCTTTCCCCACAACAATGGGATGGTGAGAGGAATTGGTCTATGGGGACACTTTCTGAGAGAGTCACCTACTGTACTGGGTAGAGAAAGGGAGGTTCAATGTCTCTCTATCCTTAGGGCTTCTTCTGCAGAGGCTTAGATTCATCTGCAACAAAAATGCCAAATCCCCTTGGAAGACCTTTCCAGATAACCAAGAACATGGACATGGGATGCTTGGGTTTCAAATCCTTCCTCTCCTTTATCCGAAGCTGGGATTTGAGTGCACAACACTATCTTGCCGTCAAAAGCCAGGTCTCAGTGCAGTATGACCCATGCTGCATTTGGCAGTGGGTCACACTGCATCACCCGTAGGCATTCTCAGAACATACAACTGCAACCCAAAAGGCAGGAGAAGGGAGTCCTAGAGTTTGTTTTAAACCTAGAGTTTGTTTTAGACAACCTCAGCCAGAGCTTTGTGCCGGAGATGGCCAAGATCTATGAGACTGAGAACAGTATGAGTTTATCTCCCCAATGTGGCAAACTGTCTTATGAGGATGTCATGGCTGGCAACCTGCATCACTTAGATGCCTGAGGGAAACCTTTTGGGAGATTCTGACCGATCTTGCTATGATCTCACACGTGTCTATCAGAGTGGTCTGTTCCTTGTTTCCTTAAAACTCATAAAAAACGGCCTCTACAAATCAGTGCTCTCCCAAATACACTCTTCAGTGCTTTACAGGGATGATCAGTGCAGCAACTGCTCCTATGCTAACACTCCCTTCAATGGGCTAACATCATGTAAGTAATTAAACACTAAGTCCTGTATTTGGGCTGGGGTAGGATAAGAAAGTGTTAAAAATCCTTCCTTCAACAGCAAAGCTGGGGAGAATCTCACAAAAGATACTCCAATGCCCTGTCCCACCATTAGAAAGCAACACTTGAAGTATAAAATTGACCAAAAATGTTAAAGACATATTTGTTCCTCAGGAGCACAATGATGACTACAGGGGCTGGTAAACAAGGAGTCAGAAGCAAGAACAAGTGTGGCAAGGAATTCAGGCCAGACTCCCTGAATCAGAATAACGACAAAATGCTGCAGTCTACACAACTCAGCTCCCGGCACAGGCGTCTGGGAATGGCAGAGCTTGTAGGAGATGTGGTTTGAATGGAGGCACTGTGCGGTGTAATAGCAAGAGAGATGCAAGCTCCGAAGCTGAAAATATGAACACAGCAGTGGCTTGAGATGGAAACCCTGTCTGCCTGCTATATGCCAAATATCTTCCCTCTGAGATTACGCTCTTTGAGGGGGAATTGCCAGGAATCTCATCATCCCTTGAAGGGAATGAACTCTGCAGGAAAATGAAGGGAAGAGGGATGAGAAGAGTGGAGAATCTGTCATTGCTTAATATGCAAGATCAGTAACATAGGACCCAGAACAGGGGCAGACTTCCTTGCATTTGTTTGCAAATCTCAGGACTGTCTTAGTGACTCTTGAGGTTGATGAGCTATCTATCACTTGTTGGCCATCTCATTGGCCTCAAAACCCAGCTGTATTCACCTTCCTCTGGTGGCTGTCTGGGTTGGGTTTCCATCTCAGGGTCTAAAAAGTGGCTCTGTTGCCCTTTTGCACAAGCCCATACCACCAAAGAACTCAGTACTCACACACCACTCTCCTGTTGGCAGGAAAGTGCAGTGAGAGAGGCTGCTAGAAGTATCTTCCCACCTTTTCTCACCTGCAGACCAGCATTTCCAGCTCTTGCTCTGTCTATGCAAAAGTATATTTTTTTTCCTCCAGAAAGATCTTCCCTTGGGACATGCTTTCTGCTGCATTTCTTCTTCCCCCTAACCCACCTCCAGACCCAAACCATCTTGTTCCCTGTTGCTGAGAGCCTTTCTGTATATCTTGGCCTTCCCTCCACAGGGAAATAGGGAGCCAGCAGTAGTCCTCAGCACAGCTGAGATGGGGAGTCAATACGGATTAGCGACACAGCCTCCCTCCACTCGCGTCCTCCTCTTGCACTGCAGCCACCCATGGACGATGCTAGAGCCACTCTCGTCGTCTCTTCCCTGTAGCTAAACACCTACTATGGAGTGGGCATGTTCCCTCACCCACTATCTGCCTCCTCCAAGGCTCCTTGGACCTGCCTCACTGCCATATCACATCCCAAAGGCCCACGCAAGTACTTTGGAGTTTGGGTAAACACAATTGGGAGCCCAGTGGTGCCTTTTGCAGTTGGGAGCCAAGTATCCTTTGGTCAAACTGTGGCATTTCCCCTTCCTCAGCACAGACAAGCCTTAGTGGGGCCATGTCACCCAAGGACAGGCTGGAACAACAGGGTTCTCCTGCATCTCTGCACTCTCGGGAAACCTGAACCACATCTTAAAACCGCCCTGGAGTGATGCGGTGACAGAGGGGATCTCTGCAGGGCTCGTGGACCTACCGTGCCAGATGGTAGCGGTGATCAGCAGCACCAGGAGGCCAGGGCCCATCTTCCCAGTGATGGTGGCACCTCCCCAGCTTGGAGCGGAGCTGCAGCGAAGACCCCGCGAGCAGCTGAGCGGACCCACTTGGGCAGCGGGCTCCTCTCCGTGCGGGCGCCGTTCCCAGTGTGCTCTTGATAGGAGCTTCTCCTTTCTGAGGCGACCACAAGTTAAGAAATTGTGTTCTTTTTTTTTTTTTTTTAGTTTGTTTTTGAAATGGGAGGGAAGAAAAAAGGCACTGTTTTGGGACGTCACCAGTGACAAACCAAGTCCGCAGAGGAGGGGCAGCAAGGAGCCCCAGGGTGAGCTGCCCTGATTCACCCTGACTATGGCCACCCAGTCCCACTAGGCACCACTGTGCTCTCACCTCCTGTTTGGGGAGGGAAAGAGACAGGCTGGGATCTACCTGCATAGCAGGGGACTAAGTTTTACCTCAGTGGGATAAGTTTTACCTCAATCTTGTGGCTCTTGCTGGCTTTGGGCCCCCAAGGGTCCAGGAACATGGTGGACCAACTCCCCTGCAGCAAGTCCTCAAAGAGGTCTTGGGCCTGGCCCAAGGTGGGTTCCAGGTGGCAGAGACCCACGAGGACAACAAATTATTTTGTTTCAGTGGAAGACAGAAACCCCTGGGTGAATCCTGAGCCTTGTGGGGGTCATCCCATTGCTCTGCTCCAGCCAGTATCATGGGGCCATCTCAAAGCACTGTAGCCATCAAAAGGGACAACAGCCAGGGAGTCACTGCCCAGCTACACCAAGGATCCTCCTCTCTGGCCACAGGGAAGACATCCCACCTACTTTGCTTTCCTCCTGCCCACCCAGCTCTTCCACTTTGCTGGGGTAGCTTTGGCAGGGAAGCTTTTTGCAGGTGATTTCTGATTGCCAGCCTGATCAGCACCTGGGAGCCGTAATGAGGCACTTAATTAACTCTTTCCTGGGCTACATTTCTTCCAGAATTAGAGGTGAGGAAAGGATTGAAGCAAAAGAGCTTGCTAAGAGAGAGTCATGTCATCGAAACATTAGCAGATCAAGGGAGATTTGGGGTCTGCCTTGCTCTCTGCTGCAATGCTGATTAACTTCACTTTGCTGCAAAAGTTTGGTCTGTATGGTGACAGCGCAGGGGTAGGAGTAGTTATAAGCACCGCTTGGTAGCACAGACTGAGAAAGAGGTCCTGGGGTGCTTTGGGGTTCTGAATTAGCTGCACTGAGATGTGGCTGCCCATCTGCTCTCAGCAGGGAGCTGTCGGAAAGATGGGCTGCCTAATTTGGACTAAAGGAGTCAGGATTTAGTGATGTGCCTGCACAGAGGTGGCTGTGGCATCTGCACTTACAGCTCAAAGGTCCCTGTCAGAGGAGTCCTCCTTGTGCTTCTGCAACTGGAGGGGAATGGGCTTGGGGGCTTCTCCAAAGGGAAGCCTTAGAGATTAGAGAGACATTTGGAAGACAATATCTTGGGGGCCAAGAGATGAGAGCATGGCTGACTGTTGAACATGACTAACAGTCATGGGAATGAGTAGAAAGCTCTAGGTTTTGGCCGGAGGGATGGCTGGAGAGCATGAGGAAGCTGATCTGTGCAGGAGTCCAGAGAGAAGAAGCAGCAGCTTTTGGCTGGAGGAGATTTCCTCTCAGCACTTTTTCCTGGCAGGACATAGAGAAGAAGAATATGAAGGAGAGACAACGTGGTGTGCTGGGGGGCTCTCATTCAGAGCTGGGGCCTTAGAGAGTGACTGGGCTGCAAGATATGTCTGGCTGATTATCTTTCCTCCTTTTGAGCCAAAGGGGCTTTTTAAAGGATGTTTGTTTCCCTCCTCCTTCTTCTTATTTTTTTTTTTTCCAGGAACAAATGCCAGCTCAGAGAGAACTGACTCACTAGTATGAGCAAGTATTAAACCAGACAGGTTATTAGCAGAGAAGAGAAGCAGTCTGTCAGTCTCCCTTCTTGCCTTTGAGGAGCCCCTTGCAGAAATCTTGGATGGAAACAGTCCACAGGTGACAAGTCACAGCTAGTGCACGTGGTTCCTAAGCTGGGCTAGGTACACGTGAGCATGCTTAGGCTGGTGGACAGGCTATCTGCTGGGCTTCTTGCCTCATCCATGATCAGTCTCTTCATGCCTGGGGGTGGCACCCACCAAATGCTGAAGCTGCAAGCAGCAGCTCAGCCTCTGGAGTGTTACTGGGATGGGCACAGCTCATATTGGCCAGAGCTTCCTTCCCTAGCCTCACAAGCAGGTGGGTACAACCATAATGAAATCTGTGACAGTCTTGTGCAGGTTTGGCTTTATGCAGAAGACCTCTGCGTTGCATGGCCTGCTGATGCTGTTTGTCCAGGCAGGTCTATGTGCCCAAGCAGCTCTGAGTATGAGGGAGTGGTATTTGCTTTGAGTTGTCTGAAGCCTAAGGATGATGATGGAGGCCTCCATGGCCAAGATGGACATGGATCAGATAGTAAGAATGAGCAGATTCTTAGCTGAGAGTTAACAAGCCCCCTCCTTGCTTCCCTGCAAACCATTTTTTTTTTCTCCAGCCTCTCCAGAGATGAGGTTGGCTTTTTTTTCCACTGCTGCATCAGCTCCTGGAGAAAAATGTCCTGACATGGCCGAGCTGTGCCAGGTGACTCAGAGCAGGTTTGGGGAGAATGAGCCTGAGCTGTTCAGGGAGCCTAAAAACGTCCTCTTTAGGAAACCGAGTACAGATGAGAGCCCAGGACAGGCTGGGCTGGAAAGAGGAGACTGAGACTTGAACCTGTCTCCTGCTGCAGCTGGTGCTTTGGGCCTTTGGACCCTACACAAAGGGTTTTCAGAAAGTGGAATGTGTGAATCCTTGTGCAAATGGGTGCAACTGCTGCTCGCTAGGCATCGCTCTGGGACAGCATCACACAGGCTGAAAACTGGATTCAGTTCAATTCGAAATGCTCTTTGTGCAGCAACCTCGGCCTTTCCAAGCTTGCGGCTCCGGGCTGAATGCAAACAGCTCTGCTCAGCAGTCTAGGGTAGATTTTGAAGCAGTTTCAGCAAAGCGGCAGAGAGGAGGCAGCTTTGGGCTGGACCCCAGGAGGTGACTGTGTCCCATTCTGCAGAACTTCTGGGGTGATATCAAGAGGAAAGTGGGGAGAGCAGGAGGAAAGGAGAGAGATAGAAGGACTTGGGACGAGAGGGTATGGGGGCCCAAAACTTTGGGTTTTCTTCTATACGAGGTAATTGTTCCTCCCAGAAGGAGAGCTGAATTCAGGTTGGAGGAGAGCCAGGAGTGAGGAGCTCTGTACACCACTACTCCTGCTGGTGCCTTGATCCCGTTGCTAGCTCCTCACTGCACTGAGAAGTTGCCCTATGGAGAGAAATGAACTACACCGTGGTGTTCCCAAACCTCCCTCTAACCCTGCACTGCTGCAGTGCGGTGACCCACATGCTTACCCTACCCCAGATCCAGCTGTTTTGCCAGCATTAGACTTCAGGATGTGCGTGTTGCAGCTGCACCTTCCAACAGCTCAGCCGTCCTTCCATCCACTCACCTCTGCTCGGTGCAGCGTGACCCACGGGCTGGTCCGTTGCACGGAGCTGGGGCAGGTCCTGCCCTGCTCACAGCCCCTGCTCCGTCCCACATGCCTGGGCTCACTCACTGTGCTGCTCTCTGCCTGGTTCCCAGTGTGGCTTTTGCTAAGCGTTGGGGTCACACACAGCGTATTAACGTGCTTAGCCTTCAGCCGCGGCACGGTTAAGCTGTATTCACCAGCTGATGCAGGTGAAAAACAGCTGAAACTAGGCAGAGGAAAGGAGGAGACAACACTTTGCAAAAAGAAACACCTTTAATTTTAAACTTTTTTGTCCTTAAAAACATATTTTGTAAAAGTTTACAGCATAAAAATAATATCTCATAGCTATAGAAGTGGCATAGTACAAGTCCTACAAATACATCTGTAAACCTAGGAGAATGTTAACTCTTTGGTACCTCAGTCTGAACTCTGTTTTCTTCCTTGCTCCAGGATGGTTTCTGGCAGGTAGTGTGGAGGCAGGTGCTGTTTCCCTTCAGGGATGCTGCAGATTAACAACATGATCACAGGCTGTTAGCCCAGAGGAGGGGAGAGGGCAGCGAACACACTTTGGGCAAATTTTGCAGGCCTTTTTCACTTTGGTGCACTCTGCAAAGGAGGGAAGGACCTGAACAAGTGGGACACTGCAGGCCTACCAGTACGTTGTCTGCTCTAGCTGGCCTTGGACCTCCTTGCAGTCCCACAAGAAGAGCGTTCTCTCCAAGTGCCACCTGGGCTAAAGTGGAGCAGTTCCTCTGCCTTTACCAGGGTCCTCTGGATCCATCCAGGCATGTCCCAGAGACCCCAGGCTGTGGCTGTGCTCCTCACGTCCAACTTGGCAGCCTGCTGTTCTCTGATCCGTGTTGGCACAAATAAAGACGTGCCATTTACAGGGCAAACTGGCCAGGCTTATCCTGGGATTTGAGCCAGGCAACATGCCCAGCTGGAGGGAGACCTTCCCAAGTGCCCGTGCACTGGAGCAGCCTCCACAATGCTTTAGCTGACATCCCATTTTAGAAAAAGCCCCCAGAAGGAGATCCCCTGCTCCAGATCTGCTCAGTTTTGCACAGGCAGCCCCTGCACTTCCCCACAGCCAAAACCTAACCCGCTCCCCAGGACCCGCTATCTGCGGTGCTGTGTCTCCCCACTCCGGAGAGCTGCTGAGCCCGGACTGGGAAGAAGGGGAAGAGCCATTTCCCACTTCGGGCTAACTTCCTTCTGGCTGCACATCTGCATTGCACTTCTGCCTCCCATCCCCGTGGGACTCCACCACGGTCCCCTCGTCAGCTCAACAGAGACAATTTAGTTGCAAGTAAAGTCCACTGTGCTCTAGACTCCGTAACACGATGCAAACAAACACCAAACATGACACTCTCACTCAAGAAAATAGTAACATGCACAAACGGAGGAGAGGAGGGTTAAAACCTGTGCACACATCAGTCTGAGACACATCTGGAACACGGAAAGAGACACCAGAGTGTCACATTAGTTTCTGGGATACACATAGGCACGTATGAAATAGTGACTGGCAGTAGGATTATGCATATATTGGTGCTGATAACAATGCAACAGCTGTAGAGTAAAATATGGTCTACAAATAAAAAATATTGCACTAGAGGTGGGCCCAAGCTGTGGTTAGGTTCTCTTGTGGGCATCAGGGCCATGGTAAAAGCCTCAGCTTGGGTCCACCTCTGAACATAAAAACACACCCAAACAAAAATACTAATCATTGAAACTAAAAACCCGGAGGGACCGGTTCCCTTCAGAATCTCACCAGAGATATTATGGCTACAAGACTGATGGGTCCAGAACAACCAACCGTTTCTCACAGCCCTCAGCCGTTGGACCGTGCGGGGACTGGAATGTCAGAAGCAGAGAGAGAGGGAGAGAGGGCTGGCTCCAGCTCTGTGTGAGGTGTGAGCTCCTTTTTGGAGCTTCTGGAAACCTCTGCCCCTGCAGAGCTCTCTTAGAGGAAAGTCCTCCCACCTGGGCTACTGGGATGCACAGCTGCAGGTGCAGAGCTTACCAGTTCAACACCAGTACCAGAGTTCCTACATCAGCAGCTAGAGCTGCTGTGCATGCCCTCACTAAGGGGTTATAGGAATAGCCAAATTAGCATAGGAAAGTACCAAAAAGTGCAAGACTTGGCCCTTGCAATCCTGGGGCCAAAGGCAAATGTTTGGTCCTACAAGTTGAGAATGGTACCATAACGCAAAGAGACTGGCGTACCGATGCTTAGAGGGGAGAGGGAAGTGGGATTAGCAGCAATTTGCTGACAAATGTGACCCCATTGGCAGCCAGAACAGGTGCAAAGGGTAATTGAAATAGAGGCAAAAATGGGATAAAAATGCAATAGTCGTCCAAGTGTAGTGAATGCCCAACCAATAGGAGAGGATGCCTGAGTTCCTTTGAGGAGAAGAAATGGATCTTTGCCTTCAGGGCTGGGGAAGAGGATTTGGCAGTGGGACATTAGTAATTCATCTGTAGAATATGGAGTTTGGTGTAGGGGTGGTGAAATGAATAAGAAAATGTCTCAAAGGAAGGTAAGAAGGGGTTAATTGATGGGGAAATCTTTGGGCTGGAGGGAGGTAGTAGAAGTGGTTCTCCAGGGTTGCTCTTGACATCAAAAGCATTAAATATTTTTATTAGTCAGTCCAGCCCAAAAATAACATGTTTGTTAATAAAAGGTGCTGATGACCCAATGTCTGGAACAGCAGGAAGTATCTCGTTTAGAAATGCCAGAAGAGTAGAAAGATGTGAGTGCCGAGATTGGTCAGGGGATGACTCCAAACTACCAGTATGTTGTGACTGGGAAAAGGCCAACCTTGACCAAAGCTACACCAAGACAGCTCCAGCACCTATCAGAACGTATTAATGCCCTATAAGAGATCCTGGTTTGACCTACCCTGGCATACTGGAGCTACCTGGGAGGACTGCTTACTTTTTGTCACCTTTGATAGACAAGGACCAACCTAAAATGGAGCTGGTGCAGACAGTGGCTGCCAGGATGATCTGGTGTGGCATCCTATGGGCTCAGGTTGCAGGGACATGAATCCTATGAAGCACCTTAGAAGTTAGAAAAACAAAGTGGTCTGACTCCAAAGATCTCAGGCACTGTTGCTTCTCTGTGGTAAGGATTCTTTGAACCATGACCATGAAGGTGGATGCTTTGTTATAAGCAGGAGGAACAGAGTGTGGAAAATAGCTGTCATTCACAGTGTGATCCCTATGGAGGAAGGGGAATCTGACTATGCAGGTTGAAATTATGCTTCTAATGAAAGTTCCATTTTTTATGTTCACATTTTGCCAACAATATCAGCCCACAAAATATCTACTCCTCTTTTAGCTGCATATATGGCAGTGTTACTAACTAGCAGAGATTGACAACTTCAGGCAGAAGTCTCAGGAATAAAAGAAGTCTCAGTGATGTTGAGGTGGTGGAAATCCAGAAAGACACTGAATGAATTTTCGAAATTGTCTTTGCAGCTTTTGTAGGACGCACACAGGGATGTGCATAGCAGGGCAATAGAGGGGTTAATGGGAGTGAGAGACATGCAGCAAATTGAGCTCTGTGCAAGGCAAAACTTCTCCTTTTGGAAAATAAACCCTGCTTGTTCCTATGCTGATGTCACAACTGTAGCTTTTGGGGTCCAGCTTTCCTCTCTGTAGAGCAGGAGCTCATGATTTCAAAAGCTTGGTGTTCCTCCTGCTTTGGGTCTCCTTGTTCAAGAGCCATCTGAGAGCACAAGAAGTCCCAGGTCTGTCTGTGAGAGCTGGAAAGGAGCTGAAAGCAGGAGGAAGATCTCTGCTATTTCATTCAAAATGCTTTCCAAGAGAGAGGAATCTTGCTGATTCCTCTTGCTCTGCTTGATTCCTTATGGTGCTTGATCCACAGTCCTTGGCAGGCTGCAAATGACTGTGCTTGACCAGCAGAAATGCTGCTTGCTGTTGAGACCTACCTTCCTTTGTGTATTTTGGCAAACAGGAAAATTCAGAGCGACAGCATTAGACACGATTCAGCCCTGGCCAACGAGCCTTCTGACCTCGCTCCTACTCTCTTTTGCAACGTCCCTGAGTTGGTGTTCTGGCATCCTACTGTCTCCCATAGTCTTGCTATGACTCAGGAGGGCCCGGTGAGACCTCCCATCCTGAGAAAGAGTGTGAACAGTCTACCACAAGGGAGCCTTTGCTTCCCAAAGAGAAGGCATAAAGATTTTGCAGCTGATGGGTTTATATGATTTCCCAGCAGATGTGCTGGGCTCAGTGGCAGTAGAAGATTAATGAACAGCCAGATCGCTTCTTATACTGGCCCTGACTAGTGGGTTAATATATTTGTTCCCTTTAAATCTTCAACAGAGGCTTTTCAGCTTGATGTCCACACAGGCAACAGCAACATTGGTTTGCCCTGTTTGCTACCACAACAAAGACATTGTCAGAGCATTTCTTGTTCTTGGCATTCCCTCGGGTCTCTTAGGTGCCATGCTGGGCACAAAGGTCATCAAGGTGCCACAATACCTGCACGTGGGTGCAGAGCTGTGGCCCAGAACCATGGTACCTCTAGTGTCTATGATGCGTTATCCACTGTGGAGGAGCTGCCAATAAAGGTGATCCGATATCTCCAAGAGAGTCTGGTTTCTTCAGGCCTTGGCAGTGCTTAAAGGAGAATCCACCCAATGTGCTCTTGATCTCCAGCAGCTGGAGCTGGGTGTTATGGCTTCTCTACACCCCGGTGATGGTCTGTAAGGAAATCTGTCCTAGTGGCATTTCACAGAACTTGTGATGCATTACGGCTGGTGCTGAAACCATCAGAGAAGTGCTGGTGCAGAGAGCTGAAACTCATTGCTGTGTGAATAGCACGGAAAGGGAAGGGCTGGAGGTTCATATTAGCAAGGTAGAAAGTAGCCTCTCATGTGGAGACCTGACCTGTGTCTTCCACTCAAAGAGAAGATGTCGGTCTGTGAGATGTCTCCCTCCAGCAGTGTTTTGATCACTGGGGAGGATGTGGCAGTGATATGGCGGGTTGTGGCACTGAGCCACCTCTTTGTGACAGGGCACGGGGATGGCAATGGGGAAAAAGTCTCTCATTTCCCACTTGATCCCAAGAGATGGGAAGGAGAGAGGAATGCCGGGATGGGCAGAGATGTCCCTATGAACAAGTGCAAAGCTTGACTCTCCGTGACATCTGGTTCGGTCCCTCAGCTGGCCTCGCTGTGGGGAGCTGCAGAGTCAGCTCAGCTCTGACTACAGGAAACTCTCCTCCACCTCGTGGTGTCCCGTGTTCGGCTCCTGGCAGCCCAGCTGCGGGTCCGATTCCTGCTCCTCGTCCTGCTGAGGGCCCAGGGGGCTGTCACAGGATATTGTAGATGACGTGTTCACTTCGTTCAGCATAGAGCTGAAGGGAGACAAGGAGGAGAGAGAAATAAGTGCCCTATCCTGAGATTCCTGGTAGAAAAGGATTCTCAATTGGTGACAAATGCCTTGAGCTTATGGAAATCTGGGTCTACATGAGTAGCTTTCCACAAGGGGACAGACAAAATCACTTGGGTCTATTTCGCCCTCATACACAATGTATAGCCATTTGTGCTCTATAGGCTGTGCACATAGGTGCACAGATATGCATAGGTGTGCCCTCCTCATCCACAGCTGCACAGGCTGATGTCCCAGGGTGCGATATGACGCTCTGTCTTAGCTCACTTCCCAGCTCCTGTGGTTCATCTACATCCTGGGGGCTTGTGAGAGATCTCAGCAATCAGATGGGGGTGACCTTGCCCTCCGTCCCTCCTGGTAAGCCCACTCCAGCTCATCCCCATGCAATTTTCAGGTTTGGGCAGCTAAAAGAGCACATTCAGGAGGGACTTTTTTACCTGGCCCGACTGACGGAGGCCTCCAGAGGGAGGTCGCAGATTCCCTCGGGCTTGGGGTCGGGAAGGGGGATGATATAGTCATTCTCGCCCCCATTCTGGTGCACAGCTGTGTAGAGGATGCTGCTGGTGGGGGAGCTGGGAGCAGGCCTGGCGTTGTTCAGCCCAGGAATCGTGGGTCTTGTGCGAACAACAGCGGGGTGGTCGCTCTTCATGAACTCTTCATCCACCTGCTGGTACCTCTGCTCCGCAGGGCAGGTTAAAAAAGAAACAGGAACTTTGGTGAGCAGTGAAAATGAACTTTTGTTGTGTTGGCTTTCCATGATGTTAGGCTTCTTCTAAAGAGGTAGGCACCTTCTAGCTAGGTTCAGCTACCCTGACTCCACTACAGACAGACCATGAATGTTTCCTAAGTAGGTATTTAAAGGAATGACCCCCACAACTCCAAAATATTGGATAGTCAGTGGCAGGTTTTCAGTTCAATGGATCTGCCATTGATTTGGATGTTCCCAGCTGTTGAGACACCAGCAACAGTCTGGCAATGTCAGTTGTCTCAGCAATGTCCCCAGGATGCTCTAATGACCCTCACAGGTTGTTCAGACTAATTCAGGCCAGGTCACAACAAAATCCTATGGCACAACAGGGACTAATCACTGGTCTCCAAAGTCCTTTTCAAGACTTCTAGCCATGCTGACCGTCCTCTGCCCTCCAAAGCAGGGTCCGTTGAACATACCTTTCTGTAGCAATCCACCAGGAGGTTTCCCATGAGCACCACCAGCTGTGAGAAGGATGGTCTTATCTCAAATTTCTCCTCCCAGCACTTCTGCATGATATCATAGCTAAAAAGAGGGAACAAGGGGTGTACTGGTGAGTAAGTGGGGAAAACAGAGGCAGGAATGCTCCTGTAGTTAGTGCAGGGCAAGGGATAATGTATATGGATAACACCTACATTTCGTCAGAAGCATGGGTGGGTTTGGACATCCGATAGCCACGTTTGATGGCATTGTAGAACTGTTCATTCATAGGGAGTTCAGGGTAGGGAGTTCCTCCTGGGTGTAAAGTGAGAGAAGGGAATGAGGCTGATGGAGAATGCCACCCTCATGGTATCAGACCGATCACACCAATGTTTCCTGTTCTTATTTACCTTTTCTGTTTCATTTCACTTCCAAATGGCAACGTTAGCATGGGAAAGAAGGAGACATAGCATGAAGTGCTACTCTGAAGCTGATATGGTTGGGAATGGGGGTAAGAAATGGATTTGTATTTCCTTGGCTTGGGAAGGGATCCTGGGGATGTGCAGATGCTCTGCTACCAGAGCTAAGGACACTAGCATGATCTCCAGGACACTTACCCAGAGTGAATATCTCCCAGAGGAGAATCCCAAAGGACCACACATCGCTCAGAGTGGTGTAGAGGTTGTTGAAGATGCTCTCTGGGGCCATCCACTTAAGAGGCAAGAAGGTCTAAAAGGGAAAGATGGAACAAGAAGAGAGTCACCTACAATTATGGCATTTCTGTATCAACACTTCGCTTACAAGTGAAGAAGACACCCTCAGAGGTTCCTATCAGCCCAGTGCAGCGGCTGTCAGCCGTTCCAAGGGGGAACCAGTTTCCTCTTCACCAGCACGGGGTGAACCCATCAGGAGGGACATGCCACATCCATTTCCACGACAGCCGGCAGCCAGTCTGCTGTGACGGGCTGTCATGGTGGGCATGGGCGTCTCCTAACCCATTGGATAGAGTGTGCTGACTTGTGCCTGACCGCAGCACACTGGCAGGGACCCCAGGCCTGTCTGTCCTTGGCAAATCTGGGACCAGACTGTAGATGGCTATGGGGCTAGGAGGAGATGGGCTGACGAACACATCCAGGACCCATCCATGATGTTTTGTCCTGCTCTTCTCTGTTCGGAGGGATGCATAAAGGAAGCCTCACTTGGTCAGCTTGTGTACAGCACTGACCATGCTTTTCCTGCTCTGTCAAGGGATTTGCTTGCACAGTGAATACCAAAATAATCCCCAGGAAGGACTGCAAAGGAGCCCAGTTTCATTTCCTGTTTTGGAAGGAAAAGCAGCAATGCCAAGACTGGTCTGGAAACTCCAGCCCCTTTGCAGCAGAGAAAGGAAGGGCTTTGCAGCCTCTCTGGACACTGAATACCCACGTGAATGGGAGCAGGTGGAAGAAGGCCGAGCAGTTTATTGAGTAGCTAAAAGGTGGCCTGGCTTTCAGCTCCACTAGCCTCAAATTCCCTGTCTGCCAAATGAGGCCAACTGTGTGTCTTGCTTTTCTCTCTATGCATTCTTCCCCAGGGCTGGGGAGAACACACTGTGCTGTTGGAGGGACAGGGAAGGCTCTGGAGAAATGTCCATCCACACCTTCATCCTCTTCTGCCTCGAAAGATTGGAGATGTCTTTCTGGAAAGTAACTGCTCACGGGAAAGCGCTTCCTCTTTCCCTGTGGTCTGGAGGTTACAACAGAAGGCTGTGAACCTCTTCCCTGAGTGTCCAGTGACTCACTGTACCGCTGCCAAGCAGCATCACCCTGCACTCCTCCTGCCTGCAGCTCAGCACCGGACACACGCTGTGCGGGAAGGGATGCAGGGCTGCTCCTGGGAGCGGGATGTGTGATGGGCTCTCGCAGTCCCTAGTTTTGCTACAGCCATCCGGGTTCTTCCATAAGAGCCTGGAGGTATGGGCATGTGATTCTGTGCCTCCATGGCATATAGTGCGTATCAGGTGCAGGACAAGTGGCCTTTGACACCATCACCCGAGAGTGCTGCCCTCCCACCACCCATAGGCACAATGTTGACAGGCAACAGTTAATAGAGTGAGAGCATAGTGGCTGCCAGGCCCAGAGCAGGCAGAGGAAAGGCGCTTGCATGGCTTGCGGTACTCACGCTGCCCTTGGAGATGTAGTTTGAATCCCTCATGATGTCCCTTGCTAGACCAAAGTCGCAGATCTTCACCAGTTTCCCCTCACAGATGAGGACGTTCCTTGCAGCCAGGTCACGATGCACGCACTGCAGGGGAGAGGCAGGCCATGGTCACTGCAAGGGGCAGGAACACCCAGGGACATGCACAAGGACCAGGGGAAGCAGGCTCCAGTGCCAGCCCCATTCTTGGACTGCAAGAGCAAGATTCACCTCCCAAAGCTGGAGGTACCTCCATGGCCTTCAGGGAGAACCATGCCTCACAGGTACGAGCAGTGCTACCTTGTTTTCATTGCTGCCTTGGGCTGTTCCCCGCCATCCAAAACTGCTGAGGGCTATTTGTATAACCCAGTGGAGTGAGGGTTGTGAGGGTTCCCAGCTGCTGAGTATGCAAGGTGAGCAGCAGGCAGGCACTGAGGAGACATCCCTGTTTGGACAGCCTGACCGCTGTGAAGGGTCTTGTGCTTTAGCACAAAGACAGTATCACAGTTTGGGAGCGGTCACATAAAAGGAGATGATATAACATCACAACTGCCCTGCAAGTGGCTTGGGGGTTGCTCAGAGTCAGGCAATTTGAGGTCTGAAGCTTGATCTAAGCCAGAGCTAGCTGTCATGTGCAAATACAGGCCTGCTGATCCCAGGGCTGTGTTTCCAAAGAGAAGTGGTCAGCAGCTGTTCAATTGCATGGCCACTTCTACATCAAAGTGGTTGGCATGGACGGAGGGACAGGGAGCTGAAGCCAACCACAGGACACAGGAGAATTTCTTGTCCCCGCTGCTGCAGACAGCATGGGCTGGCCTTATACGTACGTTTTTGGAAGCCAGGAACTCCATTCCATTGGCCACCTGGAAGCTAAACCCAATCAAGTCCATATAGCTGAGAAGTGGAGACTCGTTTATCAGTGTCATCCGGTCTGTTCTTTCAGGAGCTGGAGGGAGGGAAGGGTAATCAGACATCCACACTGGCATTACTTGGCACACCTCTGGACTCACACGGGAGCCTGTGCTGGAAGGACCTGGGCTGTTGGGTTTTGCTCAACCTCCATGGGCAAAGGGGTAGAGCTGGGGGTTCCCAACCCATCCCAAGGATGTCTGTCACCACTGCTGGGACAGTCCCAAAAGGGAGCTTTACAATGTGCACCACCACCCAGCTCTGCAGGCAAGACTGTCCAGTGCCCCAAGTACAAGCTCTTCTTCCTCCCACTGTGGTTGAGCCATTACCTGATGGGGAGTAGCTGTCCAGCTCATATGGAGTGCCGTAGTTGGAGGATTCGATGTCAGCATACTTGACTTCACCCTTCATATCAGACATGGGCACATAATCCAGGGAGTCATCCTTGCTCATGTCCATGTAGCCACCATCGCTCTCAACAGACAAGGAAAGATGGCTATGGGGGGTGAGAAAAGAGGCTGTTCAGGCCTGGAGGAGCAGAGGAAATGCAGGGAACAGGAAAACAATTTGAGGGACTACAATTCCTTAACTCTCAGCCCTGTGTCATGTACATGAAGATGTGCAGATGGCACTGGAGAACCTCCACCACCAAACAGCTCTGGCTGTGCTTGGTGCTTATAGAGGAACTCAGCTGCCTTCAAGCAGAAAGGGTTGTGGTGGTGAGATAGCTGTGCTGATGTCCTGACACTGCTATGTTTTACACCTGGTTTGGTATGCTGGAAGGAAGTGCTGCTTTCTAACTTCCCATGGGACCGGTGCTCTGCATGGCCATGCCTGGAGCCCTTGTGGCCAGTGAACAGATGAGAGGTCATTTCTCTTTGCTCTGAAAAGCTCTTATGCAACTACATTCCTTCTAGCACTTCTCCCTTAGGCATGGTAGCAACAAGATGTTCCCCGAAAATGCAGAAATGAGGTTTTCAAGGCCTAAAACATGCTGGGAAACCTTTCTGCTCTGTACTAGATGTGTGCTAGTACTCTGCACCGAATGAGCTTCCCTCAGTGGTGGGGACAAAGGCGGAACTGGCATCAGGAAGAGTGCCGCTTTTCAGGCACCTTTGCACGTGGTCCTCCTTGATGGTGTTCCCGTAGAGCTCCGCCTCTCTCCGGGCTTTCTCACCGTAGGACTGCAGGAAGGTGTGCTTGTTGTGGTGCAGGTAGTCCACCAGGTCCCCGTAGCGGCAGTACTCCGTGATGATGTAGATGGGCCCTGGTAGGAGACAATATCTGCATCAGCCCTGCTTTTCTTCTGCTTGCTCCCTGAGGGAGTGAGTTTTATGGCCTAAGGGTCTCCAGGCCCCCCCTATGGGGTCTGAGAAAGGTGGGAGAAGCTTGTGGGGCTGAAATGTGCGTATGGGGCCTTGAAGCCAGAAACGTTTCCTGCCTCAGGGATGTTACCAGCTCATAGGAAATGTTCCTGGCTAGGGTCACAGGCAAAAGCCATTCTTTTGGCAGCAAATATTTTTGAAATTTGAAATCTGTGGCTGGGGAGGGAGGTGATGTTAATGGAAAAATGCATTCTCGGCTTTAAGCAGGCTGGAAGGAACAATTTTTGGAACCCCACTTAGCTTTCCTAAGGCAAGTCATTTTGAAACAGGAACAAGGACTTATTCTATTTGAGGACAATTCTTCCTTGCAGCATGACCTGGGGCAGCAGGGAGAAGACACGGAGCACCCTGGGCCAAGTGAGGCCGTGTGTGAGTGGGGCAAAACTACCTCCTTTGGTGCAGGCTCCCAGCAAGTTGACAATGTTCAGGTGAGGTCCCAGGTGGCTCATGATCTTCAGCTCAGACATGAGGGCCTGCTTCTCGCTGCTTCTGGCAGTGGCTGTTGGGAAGATGTGGTGTGAGCAGAGGCAAGAAAACCCACTGGGGTGAGGAGGGGAGCACGTTGGGACCAGGTGGTCTCATGGCATTTGGATGGAGGGGTGGGGGAGAGGACTCACACTTGAGCATTTTGACTGCCACTTTCATAGTGGACTGCGAATGGCTCAAGCCATGGGCTGTTGCCTCTACCACACGTCCAAAGGCACCAGAGCCAAGAGTGCGACCTGCAGAGAAACAGCAATGAGAAAAAAGGTAGTGATGACCCCTTGCGTGTTCATCAGAGAGGAGCTTGGAAAAGCCATATCCCCTGTCTAAAGCAACACCAGTCTCGCTGCAGGAAGGAAATGACGACCCTGGTGAGCTATGATGTCTGGGGCTGGGGCTAGTTCCTGGTTGGCCCCAGGACTATCACACCTTGGGAAAGGTCCCATCCTATCTTCAGTATTTCCCTGAGTTAGTCTCCTTAGCAGCTTCCCAGAGCTGGGATCTAAGGCTGAGATATTGCAAACTCTAAAAGGGCTAAATATCCTTTTATAAAAATAAAATTTCTTTTTCTTCAGCCCCAAGTCCAGTCTCTCTTCCATTCTGCAGCATCCCACGCTGTCCATGTTCCCATGCCAGGACAGCATCTCCCTCGGAGCTCTGTGCTTGTCCCTTGGCTTTACCATGACAGCAGTGCAGTGTCCCAGACTGGAGCACTGGCCACAAACCCCCCAGACACCCAGAACTCACTGGACATGAAAGTCCAACTGACTTTCCTGGGGGACTCACAGAGCCTTTACCTAACACCAGCTTGTCCCTGGGCACCTCCCAGCTGGAGTCATAAGGCAGCTGCATAGGATCCACGTAGATGTACTCGTGCCCATCGGAGCTGACTGACTCAATCACCTTCCAACGGATTTCGTAACGTGGTTTCTGGAGAGAGGAGCAAAGGGGCAAGAGAAGCATGAGAAGCTGGGGGGTCAGGGAGAGCATGGGGTGTGAGGATTGGCTTTGTCAGACAGTCTGGTCGCTGCATCCCTGGGGAAGTGGAGGCCTGTGGAGGCCCGTGGCCCCAGCTCAGGTGGGACAGCATAGGGTCTGTTCCAGCAGGATGCTCTCAGCTTCCCTCCTCACCACCACCCCACATCAGGGCAGCACCAGAGCAGGCTGGGAGCATGTTCCCTCCTTACCTTCTGCCACAGGATGATGAGGATGACCAAGGAGATGACAGTAAGGACCAGCAAGGCCAGGATGACGGAGATGATGACCACTTTAAATGGCAAGGCTGCAATGATAACCGCAGAGACAGCAGTGAGACGCCCCTGTCCCTGTGTGGCCTGGGCACCCTGGGCAAAGAGGGGACACCCCCTTCCTAGGCACCTTTCCCATTCCCCACTGTGTCTCACTGGAGGAAGTCCCTCTCCTCTCTTCCTTGTCAGACCTGTCTGGCACTAGTGGTGGCAGCCCCTGGGGGAAAATGGGATGAGGGGTTGATACAGCCCACTGAAAAGCTCTCTGCAACCTTGGGGGAGGTTTACGAGGAGCTGGTGTGCTCAGGAGAAGATCTGGTAACACCAGTCCCCGACTCAGAGCGTTCTCTCTCCTATTAGGGTGGTTTAGCACACGGTTGTTCAGGTCCATGGCACCATCTAGCGAGCCGCATGCTAATAACAAGCCACTGGGGACCTGCTCTGGCCATGCTTATGGATGTCCCTACTCAGCAGTGGTAAGAGGACATTCAGTACCGGAGAGCAGGGGGGCTCCAGGAGGAGCCTGGAGCAGGCTGTCCTACTTGACCCGAAGGAGGCTCTGCTTTGGGCATAAACAGCCAGATTTCATGCTTTGGAGGGCTGCAGCCGTCCAAGGACAGTCCTAACTTCCAGCATCTCCAGACTAGAGGCCCGGGTATGGAAACGCAGCTCCCCACACCCAGCTCAAACACCTCCCCGAGCGCTCACTGTGCGGGACCAGCGTGATGTCCTGCGAGTTGGTGCCCAGGAAGTTCTGCACGGTGCACCGGAGCAGCAGGGGCTCGTCGACGCGGTGCAGCTGCAGGGTGCTGTTGACGCGGTACACCTGCAGCTCCGCGTGGTACGTGGCGTTGGTCTGCAGGCCGATCTCGGCCGAGTCGTTGCCCAGCAGCCGTGTGGGCTGCCCCTTGGTGCTGCACCTGCCCCCGGGGAGGACACAGGAGTGTGAGGGGCAGTCGGAGCTCCACGGCACCACAGGGCTCCTCCTCGAGCTCAGACACTATCCCCTAACTTCCTTTCCTCCTGTTTGGCCTTCTTGCACCGTTTGCTGAGGAGGTGGAAGGCATTGATCCAGATCCCTGTAAATGACTAGGCTGAAGCCCCAGGATGTCTCCTGAGCCCAGTATGGAGCACGTTTCGTTTTTAAAATAGTTTTCCAGCTTTCCTTGCAAGCACAGACTAAAAGTAGAAGGGGCCTAAGTCTGCTGCTGCAGCAGAGCCCCAAGCCCTGCTCATCAGAGGACAGGGGTGATGTGGCTGTGAGCAGTGCTCAGCGAGCAGAATACTATAAAATAGCAGTCTGTTAGTAAAATAAATGTGGGAACCTTGCTGCTCCCCTGGGCTCCGTCTCTCTGCTTACCATTTAATGTCACTGCAGGTGGACCAGCTGATCTCTGGCTGCGGCATCCCTTCAGCAGAGCACGTTACAGTCTGCTCCCCACTGCTGGCACTGCTGTTCTCCTTGAGATCCACCACCTTGGCTGGCACTGAAACCAAGAGACACTCGTGAGAATCAGTCTTCTGCTTTGCCTGCACATTGGAAAGGGTATGTGATTCCTCTGCACCTCCAACAGGGCGCAGGGGTTAAAGGACAGTGAGCCCAAAGTCTTGCAGTGAAGGAAAGAGCCCCAAGGACTGCCAAGACTCCTTGGTCAGGTGTCCACAGGTAAGTCCTTACCATTTATCTGCAGATGGAAGGAGAGCTCCTGCACATCATCCTCATTGGAAGCTCGGATGGTGTAAAATCCTCCTTCTTCTTGCTTCACCCGCACCAGAACCAGAGCTGTTTGATACCTAAAAGAGACATAGTCCTTGGGTGATGAGCACAGGGAGATACCTGGGGGCCAACAGCTCCTACCCAGTCAAAACCCATTTGCAAAAAGGCCAATGTTCAATGGCTGCCCCATGTCCAACTGGCTGTTTCCAGCTTGTTTTATGCCATGCCTGCTCTCTGTGCTCTGCGGGGGGGATATGGGCTTTCACCTGGTTTCTGAGAGGTTCCTGCTGGAGATGGTGAACTCGCTGTTGCTCTCCATGACCAAAGTCTTGTTGTTCTTCAGCCATGTGATGGTGGGCGGTGGGTAGGCCTCCACCTCCACCTGGATGGTGCGGCTCTTATGGACCTCAGCATACTCCGTGCTAGCCAGGTGGGTGTGGAAGCGCACAAAGCCCCGCTCTGAGAGGGATCAAAATGGGTAAGAGCTTCAGAAAGTGACATGGCTACTTCTCTATCCCTCAGACTGGCACAAGGGAGAATGAACATGGATCTGGAACAAAACACCCTGAACACCAAGCAGTGGCGGGACAGCTTGCTCCAGATAGCGTCTTCAAGGTCTCAGGCCTGTGCCCAAGGGGAGTGTGGGTGCAGAGTTGTACTTCAGAGCAGGGGAGCTCATTAGAGAGATAACAAGCAAAGAAAGGCTATCATCTGGTAGAGACGGGACAGTTTCCCTCAAATTACACAAAGGGAGGAGAGACCCACATGAGCGAGATGACAAGTTTGGGTTGGCAGTGCATTGGCCCTGCACATCTCTCACCTGCACCATGAGATGTTTAGAGGAACCCATTAAGCCATGGTGCAGGATTTGGGATTTTTTGAAGTCTAGAAGTGAGCAGGGATGACTTTAGGCCTCTCCAGAGTTAACAGTGGCTTTTTGCCTCCTTTAGTAAGGGAGGTGGGAAGGGAAGAGAGGAGAGAGTCTGGGATGCCCACGTGGTTTGTGGGCACATAGGTGCCCCAGCTGCTGACTTAGAGTATATGGGCAGCAACGCACCGATCACATGGATTGTGATATCTTTTCGGTCTGTTTTCTCATGGTAGCCCTCTGAGACATTGCAGATGTAGGTCCCACTGTCATCTAGCTCCGCATTCTGGATGATGAGGATGGAACGGATTTCATGGGTGGATCCAGGCAGAAAGTCGGTCACTGGTTCCACAGCCTTCCCAGCCTGCACAATAGGGACAGGAGATTTGTGCTGTGAAATTGGGCATGTTCTGCCATCAGAGCTGCAGAATCAGGCTTATGAGGAGGGAGGAGAAGGGGTTGGAGGATCCCACGGTCTAGGTGGGATGGGGACAGGGCACATGCACTGATCAGAGGCAACTGAAACATAGCTTTAGTCTAAGGATCTCCCTGTGAAACTGCCCTGCATGGCATCTGCATGATCCCACACCTTCTGTCATGGGCTGAAGCATCTTGAGCACCACTATGATACTGTGTTTGCCACAAGACACCTGAGCAAAAGCTGGGGCAGCCCAAAGATCATTAGACCAGAACACTCACCTTCTCACGAGGATAAGCCCAGTTGAAGTTGACCAACTCATTGCCGCTTACTGTGCACATCAGGGTAATGTTCTCTCCTTGCCTCACCACTGTCTGCACAGCACTGATGGAGACATTCACAGAGGAAACTGTGGAGAATGCCAAACACAGGAATGAACAATGAAAGTAGGGAAGAGTCAGAAAGTAGGAGCACTGGGAGAGCTGCTTATCAGCACAGTCTCTGTGTCCATATGATCTCCCCATTTGTCTGGATTTGGACAAGGGCCCTGAGCATCATACCTTGGATCCTGTAGACGTAGAATGTATCTGAATCCACCTCCTGGTCATCCACAATTGCCCGGCAGAAGTAGGTCTTGTCCTCAAAGAAGCCTTTGAAGCCCTGCTGTGGGTCATAAGCAGCTAGGATGGGGTTCTCCACCTTCTTCTCATAGAGGATGACCTGCATCTGTGGGTTGGTCACGCGGCATGGAATGACAGCCTCTGTGTAACCAGTGATGAAGATGAAGAGTTCTTCGGCAGCAGTGGGGAGGAAGACTAGGGCGGGGTCTGTGGGAAAGAGACATGTTGGTTATGGTGAGCAGCTTGAGGCTGAGCTACGGCTGCTCTGTGTTCCCCTAGCACTGGTCCAGCATCGTGTTGTCTCGAGACTGCTGCTGGTGTAGGTTACTCCTTGCCTATTCCTCCTCATCACAGGAACACAGAGCTACTCGTGGCAGAGTGAGAGAGACACAGCCAGCTACCAGCCAGCACCATTGCCTCTGCCATCACTTGCACACCACGTGATCCGTGTGCCTGTGCTGTGACCCAGTGCACTAGAGACATGCCAAAGCCAGAACCACAGCTTGAGAGCCCTGTGCTGTGGGAGGCAGGATTTGGAGAGGCCAGCTGCTTGGAGAACAAACAGCAATTCAGGACCCTCTTTCTCTTGATTGCTAGACCCCCATGGAAAGGCAGAGACAGGATATGCTGTCCCATACCTGGAACGTAGATGTAAACCGCCTTCCTCTCCGCTGGCTCTGGAGCGTGCTCAGGGCTGTAGGTGCACACGTACTCCCCCGTTTGGCGGCCGGTCACGTTCCTGAGGGTGAGGTTGCTGGCGAAGACACCATCCTTGTGCTCCAGCGAGGCAGCGAGAGTCTGACCGTCCCGTTCCCAGACCAGCATGCCATCCCCATAGCACACGAGGGAGAAGGTGCTGTGGAGGCTAAGGACAATCTCGGCCTCTCTGGGTTCAATGTGCAGCCTGCTGCCTCCAGAGGTTGCCTCCAGCAGCCCTGGGAGAAGGAATTTGGGAGAGCAAGATGAGACTGTGGTACTGTTGGCCAGAGTGAAATCTTTGGTGAGGAACAGGCTGGGAATCCCCCTCATGTCCTCAGCTTTTCTATGTCCCATATGCTGGTCTAAGTGGTCCCAGGAGCTGATGTTATGCTGATGTAGTGTTGACTCAGAATGAGCCTATCTCTGCAAAGGCAGATCTAAGTCTCAGAGGCACCTTCAAAGGCTTGGATAGGCCATTGGTGCATTTAGTGAGTGGGGAGCAATGCGGGGAAAGAAATGCTGCAATTCCCTGCTCCGCTGGCTGCCTTTCTAGAGGGACACTTTCAGAAGTGACACAGACCAGCCAGAAACAATTTAAAAGAAAGTGAAAAAGAAATGGAAGCAAAACCTTGCAGGAAATCCTATGGAAGCAATAGAGCAGGCAAGGTCTTCCTTAATGACTTCCTGTGTCTCTCCTGGGCAGCTGCTGTCCTCCCTGTGGCACCCTCAGCCAGAACTTCACGTAGGCATTTGGGACTTCACATCCCGCCCGCAGTAGCGTTGGGTCAGTATGGGCAGAATGAACCCAAGCCATGAGAGGGGCAGATGCGTCCCGTATGCACAACATGATGGTTGCGTGATCCTCAGAGAGCTGCCGTGGCTGTGTGTCTGTCTGTCTGTCTGTTACGTGTATGCAGGGTAACCTCTGTGCCTCCTCATGGCGTTGGCTGGGATGAGCAACCCAACCCCATGGCGTTGGTTGGGATGAGCAACCCAACCCCATGGCGTTGGTTGGGATGAGCATCCCGGGGTAGGCATCCCATGCATGGCCCAAACCACCGTGCATCTCCCGAGCCGCATCACTCACCGGCGAGGAAGAGGAGCCCGAGGGTGGCCTTCAGCGCGGGGCACGGCATGGTGGGGTCTGCAGCACAGCGCCTGAGTCCTGCCAAAGCAAAGCAGGGTGAGCGCAGTCTGGTCGGCAGAAATGCTCCCTCAACCGCCCCGGCTCTGCAGCTCCCGCCTCCCAGATGGAAACCTCGTGTTTCTTCCCAGTTTCCCAGCCCCTCTGGTGAGCCCAGCCTGCGGTTCCCCGGGACCTTTGCTCAGCCCTTCCCTCTTGGCGCGCAGCCCTGCTCTTCCCTCATGCCGGGACAGCTGAAGGAACCATTTCTAAGGCATCTCCCGCTGGTAAACAGGGATCTTGCGGGATGCAGCGGCAGTTGTCAAGCATTGCTCATCGCTGCTGGAGAGGCCACCCTGCCGCTGCAGAGCCCGGCCTTTTGCTCTGCTCCCAGCCTTTCCTCCCCTGGATTTGCCTTCCCTCAGCCCTGGGGAGATAAAACTTGCTGGAAAAGATTCTCCCCAACTTATTCCTCCCACATTTTTTTTGCTTCTTCTCACAATCCCCTCCTCCCAGTAAAACTGAAGATATTTTTGTATTTTTGTTTAAAATACATAATTTTTAAGAGAGTATTTAAGAAGGAGTTCTAATTAAACATCCTTTTTTGGCAAAATTTCTCAAGAAATCTTTCCCACTGAACATTTCCAATCCTCCCTGCGGCAAACAAAGTCCTGAGGAGCCCAGGCCAGCATTTCCTCTGAGCAAGGAGCTCTGTCCCGTGCGTGACGGGGGGACAGGTGTCCCCGCTGCTCACACCTCCGGGCTGGGGATGAGAATCTCCATAAAGCCAAACAAAGAAGCTGAGGAAAGAAGGACTTTCCCGGAGAACGCTGGGGGGAAATGGAGGGTCAGTCCCTAGGGACTGGGAACAGATGGGAGGAGAGTTCCCTGTCCCCATTTGGGATGGAAATAGGACAAGAGCAACTGCCGCAGCACTGGGCGAGGGAGCAGGGCCCCCGTGGCCGAAGCGGCAGGGTTGAGCAACGGGATGGCAGAGCCAAAGCCACAGCTCAGCACTCCTGGGCTTTGGGAAGGTTTCCATGAGGATCTGAACGTCATGAGCCAGCCGTGCTGCTATCCTGGGCCCAGCTGCTGCCCTCCAGCTGGGCCAGCCCCTGTGTCCAAGCGCGTGGTTCGTCCTGCACATGCAGGGCTGCCCAGCGTGCCAGGACCCCTGTGCCAGTGATGTCTGGGTCTGCAGCCCAGCTCCAGGTACCTCTCGCAGTGAGCAACATGTTGCCGCGTGGCCCCGGCCTTGTGTCTGCGTCTGCTGGAGGAAATGGTTTTTAAATGACGTGCGCTCGTCAGATGTTTTTATTATTCTCTCGCTTTGGCTCGGGTGAGGCTGATCTACCAGCACACTCTTCCATGCCTCCAGCTTGTTCAGCATCTTCCTGCTCTCCTTCTCTCCCTTCAGGAAACCCCTCCGTGACTCCTGCAGCCTTGCCGCAGGGATGAGCGCACCGCTGGGGCTGGGCAGGGGGAAAGGGTTGAGGTGCAATTCAGCAGCCTTGCTGCTCCTGCCCTCCAAACCCACCTGCCTGCGGGAGCAGGATGGACACCTAATCTCGCCAGGACAATGCCATGAGGACAATGAGCTTGCTGTCCTCACGCGCCTTTGCAGAGGTGTCCGATTCACCCATTATCCAATGTCCAAGGCTGCAAGGACAACGGGAGTCATCTCCTGTCTCTGTTCCCATGCACCAGGCTGGCTGTGTGGCCCATCCCGAACCTCAGCCTTGCAGCAGTGAGCACATTCTCCACGCAGTGCCCGGGGTTCAGCCAGCCCCCCAGCTTTGTGACTGCTACCGTCAGCCTTGTCGCAGGCATTTGCTGCGTTTCGGCGCTGGGCTCGGCACCCTCTGCGTCCCGCCTCCGCCGCCTCTCTGTGTTGTGTTCGTAGCTGGTTTTAATAAAGCCGCTGGCTTTGCAGAAAGGCCTTTCTCTTGGAGAGCAGAGTGGGAGGGTGGCAGCACCTCGTGGGGAGCAGTGACCTCCCTTGTCTGTCTGCACATGGAGGTGCCAGGCTCTGCCCACTCGGATGGCGCGCTGGCATCATCCCAGGATGGGCGCAGGGACGGGATTGCTCCCCACATACACAGCCTCCTTTGGAGCCCCATGCCCAGCGCTAAGCAGGGCAAACCTCCTACACACATTGTCACAGGGACACAAAGGCACCCGTTTCCCTGCCAGCCTTGAGGGTAATTCTTCTTTCCCTCCTCCGTCTCAGCTGCAGAGGGACAAGGTGCCCCAGCAGAGCCACTGCTGAGGCATTCAGCTGAGCCCCATGGCTGTGTCCTGCCCTGCAGCCTCCAGCATCCTGCGTCCCCATCCCCGCGCGGGGCCCCTCTCTCCCCCTCCGTGGTCCCCAAGCACAGACGCAGACCGCCCAGCACCATGACATGAGGGCAGCCCGGCAGGGCCAGGAGCGGGGCTGTTTATTATTCTAAACGAGGAATTTGGCCGGGAGAGGGGACAGGAGGTCAGCAGGCGCGGGCGGGCGCTCGGCCACGCTGCCGCACAGCCCCGCGCACAGCCCTGTGCAAGGACAAGGTGCCTGTGCCCTGCCAACCGGTGCCAACCCAGCCACGGCGGCCTGTCCCCCCGCGGGGGGACAAAGCCGCATTGTCCGTCCTTATCTCCCAGCTTTAATCACGGCGGCGGGACGCAGCCAGCCAGCGGCACGTGCGGTGGGGAGCTCGTGGCTCCCGCGGGCACGTCGTGCTCGGGGGCAGGAGGCAGCCCTTGGGTGTCCGGGTTTCCCAGCCCGCTCCGTGCTCATGGGTAGGAAAGTGTCATGATTCCTGGTCTTGTGACTCTGCAGCTTCTCCAGAGCTGCTGGGTCCCATTTCTCCTATCTCTCCACCCCATCGGTGCCCCTGCTTTCCTTCCTGCACCCCTCTCCCTGCTAACAGCGATGCCTCCTTGGCTGATGATCATGAGTTTCTGCAGTGGAATGGGATGAGGCCAACAGTTTGTGATACAAGAAATAGCCACTTCCCCCTCCTTTAGGGAGGCCTGTTTTCATCAGCCATTTCTGCTCCCCATCCTGCAGGCCCTTGCTAAGGTGTTTGAGCTGCCTCCAACCTTGTTTGTTTGTAAATTCCCCTGTTCCAAACCCATCTCTTGTCTAAGGATGCTCCTAAACCAGCAGTGTCTTTGCTAAACCCAAAATACACGTAGCGCCGTCCCTCCCAAAGCACCGGCCCGCGTGGGACGGGCCCCTTTGCAGCACGGCAGAAGCCAGGGGAGACCTAACGAAAGATCATCAGTGCCAAGGAGCCCCTTTGCATTTACCGCCTACAACTCGAGCATCCCTCAATTGCGTTTTTTTTGCATCTCTCCAAACAGCTCGAGCCATCAGCAGAGCCGCGGCAAAGCAGGGAAGCGGAGCTGGGCTCCTCACCGAGACCGGATCCCTTTCACTGCCTCTCGCTTTCTATTTTGAGCTCCCCGGTCCCCCCTCGCCCTCCGGCCGGGCTGCGATTCCCAGCTCTCCCACTATGCTCGCCGGCGGCGAGGTCCTGCCAAGCCGGCCAGGGACATCTGGTGCAAATTAGCGGCAAGAAAAATATGCTTTATTTCTTCTTTGTCTAAATCCATCTGAGTCATTAAGTGAGATCATGGGTGCCCGTGTGCAGCAAGGAAGCCCCGCGTGGGTCCTGTGATCGATGCTGCTCTCAGCCGGGGTGCGAGGGCTGCTCCCAGCCCGGGGCACCCGCTCTCAAAGGCAGAGAGCTCCCCGATCACCAGCTGGTGACCCTGAAACCCAAACCCTGCTCGTCTGGCAGGCAAACATGCTGCCTGGTCCTGCTTCCCTCTGCCACCCTCCCCCTGCTGCTGCGACTGCTTCTTTCCCACCCTTTAATCTAAATAAATCTGAGTGTTTTCTTTCTTTCTCTTTTCTTTTTTTTTCCCTCCTTGGCTGGAACCGTCCGGAGTTGCAACATCCCTCCTCCGGGGTCCCTCGGCTCCCATGACACCGCCTTTACTCACAGGCCAGATGATCATCACAGAGCCCTTTTTCTTTTTCCCAGCACATGGCTGGAATTAGGCAGCGCGGCGCGCGCGGGGCGCCCGCCCCAGCCCCTACACAGCTGATGATAAAACGCAGAGGTGCGAGACGTGAAACCAGACTGAGCAGTGGAGGGGCTGGGAGCCTCGGGGCTCCAGTGGGACGTCCCTGCCCGGGATGTGCGGCCCCGTCCCCCGGCGCTGCGGCCGGGCAGAGCGAGGGGGTCCTGGGGCTTTGCCCCCGCGCTGCGGAGTCTGAGGGACACTCGCAGCCCTCGTGCACCCTGCATGGTCCTGGTTCTCTTTTCCTTTTTCTAAGCTCCCTTGCAGGTGAGATTCTGCAAGCTCTGCCCCTCAGGCAACACCACAGGCGCCCGCCTGAGTCCTCCGAGCAGTTTTGCCGGAGCTCCTGGAGCTGCTGGCTGTGAAGCCACAACCGCATGTCCCTGGTGTGGGCCATGCTCCGTGGGCGATGCTCCAAGCAGGGGCAGCGGCTGCCCTGGGGCTGCCCGTGCTCCGGACGGCTCTGCCCGCAGCCCCAGCAACTTCCCGGCCGGACCCTGCCGCGGATTTGGGGCAGACCGCGGGGAGCAGGGCGGCCCTGACTGTGGCCTGCGCCGGGACACGGTGCCCGGTGTGCCCGGAGGAGGCGCATCCATCCTCGTCCCGCTCCTGCTCCCATGCCGCCCGCGCTGAGCATCGCCTGCAGGCACCCGGACACGTGGGTGCTGGCACCACGTTTCCCACAGCCGGAGGAACGGCCACAACATCTCCATCCTTCCCGACAGCTCCCAGCAGCCGCAGGGACCAGGGGAGAGGGGCAACCACATCCAGAGCTGTCACAGGAGCCAGCAAGACACAGGTTATCAGAGCTAGTGTCCTCATGCCCCCAAGCTCTGCCAGGGGCTTCCACAGCAAGCCAAAAACGAGGGCTGTGACTCCGGAGCAGAGCGGGAGGCTGCTGCAAGGATGCTGAGCCCCGCTCCGTGACTCAGCGGC